GAGGCCCTGTGGGAGTACCAAGAATGTTCTCTTCAGTTGGTCAAAACCAACTGAATTAAGATCCATGCATTTCATTCCATGTAAATTACATCCTAGTGAAGAAAAAAGAAAAAGGAAAGTGCTACGTACATTCTACAGACGGATGTATTTGCATAGACATTTTCTGAAACAGTATATAAGACAGTTAACAGTGGTTGCCTTTGGAAGTGGGATGGGGGACCGGGAATGGGAAAGAGATGTTGTTTTCTTTCCATAACCTTTATCCTGCGTGAAATCCTCCCAGAAAGCATCTATTACTATTTCGATGGAAAACAAGTCATTCAAAAACTATTTATCACTCTCTAGAAAGGAAACCACCCCTGCCCTTAGAAAGAACAACTTATCTCTGGCCAGCCCCTGACAATACAGTCAAGCAAAGGTTTGATAATAAGGCCACCACACGTCAGAATTTGCAGAGGGCTCATACACCCACCCTCCTCACCACTAACTAATCCCCCTGGGTCTGGTTTGGGAGGGTGCAGGGCTGGAGGGCTGTTGGGCAAGCTGGGAACCTCCGGGCCAGCAGGTCTCACCTGGGGCCTCAGGTTCGTGCGGTCAAGGGCACCTGGAGCTCAGGTTAAGAATGCTCCCCTTGGGGCTTCCCTGGTGGCGCAGTGGTTGAGTCCGCCTGCCGATGCAGGGGACACGGGTTCGTGCCCCGGTCCGGGAGGATCCCACATGCCGCGGAGCGGCTGGGCCCGTGAGCCGCTGAGCCTGCGCGTCCGGAGCCTGTGCTCCGCAACGGGAGAGGCCACAACAGTGAGAGGCCCGCGTACCGCAAAAAAACAAAAAGAATGCTCCCCTTGGGCTTCACCCTCAGATCTCAATCAGAATCCCTCACATGTCCAAGAGTCTATATTTCTTTTCTACCTTCTTTTGAATTTTCTATTGTGCACATTTTCAAATACACAGCACATTATGGAGAAGAGTCCAATTAATAACACCAGATTCAACCAGTGTTCCTATTTGACTGTATTTGCCTCTTCTCGCTCTCTCTCCATTCAATTGAACCGTTTAAAAGTAAATTATTGTGGTTCTCAAAGTGTAGTCTGGGAACACCATGAGGTCCCCAAGGCCTTTTAAGGGGGTCCATGCTGCCAAAAACATTCTTATAATAATTGTACATTTTTATTTGCCTTTTTCCATTCTCATTCGAGGGTACAGTGGAATTTTCCAGAGGCTACATGACACGTGATACTGCAACAGACTGAATGCAGAAGCAGGTTTGAGAATTCATCTGTCTTCTATTCAGCCATACATTAAAAAGATCTCCAAAAATGTTAAAAAAAAAAAAACCTTTAAAAGTAACTTATTGCTCTCATTGACACTTCACCCCTAACTACTTCAGCATGCATCACTGAAAAATAAGAGTCCTGTACATATACACGTGTTAGTTATCTAGTGCTGTGTAACAAATTACCCTGAAACATGGCAGCAGGAAACAACCATGTCTCATCTCACTGTTTCTGTGTCAGGAATGAGGAGTGGCTGAGCTGGGTGCCTACCACACCACAAGCTTATGGCATCTAATCAAATTTACAACAGTCTCCTCGCATGATCTAGGAGGCAGGCACATAAAAATAACCCAGGTGTCCCCAAAGCCTATTACTGATGTTTGTTCAAGCCAGGATCCAATCAAGGGCACAAGTTATAGCTGGTTATTGTCATGGACTGAATGTATCCCCCAGAATTCATATATTGAAATCCCAATCCCCAATGTGATGGTATTAGGAGGTGGGGCCTTTGGCAGGTGATTAAGTAATGAAGATGGAGCACTCAGGATGCAACTAGTGCCCTTATAAGAAGAGGCCAGAGAGCTCTCTTCCCACCATGCGAGGACACAAGAAGGCAGCCATTTGCAATGCAGAAGAGAGCCCTCACCAGAACCCAGCTATGCGGGCACCCTGAGCTCAGACTTCCAGCCTCCAGAACTGTGAGAAATAAATGTCTGTCGTTGATGAGCCACCCGGTCTGTGGTACTCTGTCACAGCAGCAGGGCTGCCTAGGACAGTGATTCCATCGCTTAAGTCTCATTTGATGGAGGATCCGCCTCCATTTTCTTTTTTAACTTATTTATTTTATTTATTTATTTTTGGCTGCATTAGGCCTTCCTTGCTGCGCGGGGCGTTTCTCTAGTTGCGGCGAGCGGGGGCTACTCTTCCTTGCGGTGTGCAGGCTTCTCACTCCAGTGGCTTCTCCTGTTGCGGAGCACGGGCTCTAGGCGTGCGGGCTTCAGTAGTTGTGGCACGTGGGCTCAGTAGTTGTGGGTCACGGGCTCTAGAGCGCAGGCTCAGTAGGTGTGGCGCACGGGCTTAGTTGCTCCGCGGCACGTGGGATCTTCCAGGACCAGGGCTCAAACCCGTGTCCCCTGCATTGGCAGGCGGATTCTTAACCACTGCACCACCAGGGAAGCCCTCCTCCTTTTTCATTTTCTTTCACATCATTGACTGGGTGCAGAGACAGCGCCCAATGACCCACATAGCGTGCCAAGCCATTCTGGGGACAAGTTACCTGGCCGGCTGTGGGCGCCACCTGTAAAGAAAATGGCTGGAAGTGGACAAAGGAGGCTACCTGTGCCCCGGCCTCTGCACACTGGCTCCTTCTCGCTAAAGAACCAACCCTCCCCCAGGCGAGCAATTTTTATGGGGCCAGGAAGAGGCAGAGAGAGTGAGCTGAGGGCAAGGGTACTGGGGGAGGGGCACACCACAGTCCCAGGCCCGTAGGGGGGACAAGGATAATTGTTTGATTATAAGCTCCCTCCCCCAAACCCACCACACATAGCCCATGCCTCGCAATGCCACCGCCATGACTGCTTCCTGTCTCCCAGGAGTTTGCAGCTTGCTGACCCTCTTACAACCATCTGATTCCCCCAAGAGCCAAAGAAGCAGGACCAGCAAGTACAGTAGCCCCATTTACATTTTCGGCAACGGTTCCAAGAGGTGAAGTGGTGCAGCAAAAGCCGCTCTCTGAAGTGTCAGAGCCAGACCTTTAGCGGCCAGTCCTACACTGGAGCGTAAAGCGCGTGACCGTGACGGCCACAACGGGCACCAGCACCCGCGTTATCTCACTCCCTCCCCTCGACACCTCCACACGGGTCCTATTCCCACTTTTGCAGATAAGGATGGGGACCCTGGTCTGTCCCAGTTCCCGACACGCTGGTGTACTGCTTGTGCTCTTCCCTCTTTCCCTGACACTCTGGCAAGCTAGCTTCCCAGCTACGACTGGCACACAAAACAGGCCTCCCCTTTTTGACTGAAGCTACTTCTGGAACCCCAGAGCATAAAAAAGTCTCTGCATTGACAACATCATGAAAGGGAATCGGATCTCTGACCAAGGGCTCAGCATGAAACAAATCATAGGAAAATGAATTCTAGAATACCAGAGCCAGAACATCTAAGATCGTCCAAATCAGTGGTTCTCAACCAGGGGCAATGGAGCCCCACGAGGGAACAAGTGGCAGGGTCTGGAGACATTTTTCATTGTCACAACTTGGGGGGCGGGAGCCACTGGCATCTAGTGGGTGGAGGCCAGTGATGCAGCTAAAGAAACATCCTCCAGAGCACAGGACGGTGCCCACAACAAACAGATTTATCCAGCCCCAAACGTCAATAGTGCCAAGGCTGAGAAACCCTGATATAAATTCCTTGGTCACTCTGGGGACAAGAAAACTGACTCCCAAAGACACAAAGTGACTTGTCCCAGGTTCCACAGTCCCAAAGCCAGAAGTGGAATCAGGTCTCTACTACATCTGTCTCTCATCTGCTCTGTCTAGGGTTGGGCTGGGGGACAAGGGAAGGTAGGGGCCTGAGGACCTTGACTCTAATAGCCAACCTGAACCAAATGAAGAAAACTGCAGTAAATTAATTACTGAATTACTGCAGCAACACATCAGGGTGTCCAAACGCTGAAAGAAATGCCTTATTTAATTATCAACTAAAATACCATTGCCTTACAGGTCCTCCCACAGTTGCTGGATGGGTCAAATGATCCATGGTGTGAGTTCCAATACAATTCAGTGATACCACGGCTTCCAGAGGGGTCACGTTTTACAGGAAAGAACGCCACATTCTCCTCCTAAGGGTACCCACACATGTCCTGGCCTCGGGTCGTATGCGAACCAGAGAAAGGAATGTAAACACAGGCCTGAATTCTCAAAAGAGTCCATTAAAATCCCACCTCCTGTCCTGCTAAAATTGAAGTCAGCTGATCCCTCCTCCATCTGCCACTGCGTCATCAAGCCCCTTCTTTCAGCAAGCAAATTACTTAGCAATGGAATTAAAAAGAACACTGGAAATTCATGGATTTTGGTGTTCATTTCCAGCTCCACCCCCTTCTAAAGACCTTTTTGTTCTTAACAGATGTAGCTGGTTTGCACTCTCCTACACGCACATTGGAAGCTTTATTTTATTTTATTGGATACTGTTATTTTTTAATCTATTTAAAACACCCGGAGAAAACAAACACATTTCTGACATATCCCCTTTAAATGCCGGAACCTTGCAAAATAATGCCAAACAATTTAGACCGCACATCTGGCTCTTCAAATGCTAACCAAGAAGTTTCCATTCCATTTCAAGCAAAGCAGCTTGGCTTTGAAAGAAATCAGGCTGACCACTGAGGACAAACCCCTGTAAGGAGAATCAGTAAATGTGTCATTATTTAAGAAGCACAATGACCGTCGGTAGACAGTTATCTTTGACGAGCAGCCCCTGTCTCTCCTTACAATGCCTGTACTGTGATCATTCCTGATTTTTTTCCCCTCCTGTGAAAGAGGCCCGGGTCTTTCAGTCTGGCCCGTGCCCACTTTCCCAGGGTGCGCCTGCCAAGACCCAAGTCACGCGTGAGCCTGCAGCAACCGCCCTCCGCGCCCCCCTGCTGCCTGGTGCCTGCAGCAGCCGCAGCAGCCAGAAACCCCACTTTCGCCGACGGTCTGCAGGGGCTCCTCCTGCAGAGTCCCTTACCTGCAGTGCCGCATGGCGCAGGCCGGTCGCCCACCTGCACCGCATCCTAGAGCATCCTTTCTTCGGCTCAACGGCTGCGAGCGCGCTGACGTCACCGGGAGGCGGGCCCACGCCGCCACGTGACGCCCTCGGGGCGAGGAGGGGAGGGGGGCGGGGGAAGACCCTGGAAGTCCCTGTAGGCGAGGAGCGAGTGGCCGGGAAGCCTCGCTCTGGCCTCCTTTCAGGGCGGTGTGTTTGGTGTGGGCAGCTGGCCTAGCCTTCCACCAACTGTGGGAAACAAACAGCACACAGAAGGGGAGACCCAAATGACTCCAGGCTCCACGCAGGTAATAGGATTTCAATAAGGGGATTAGTAATGAAAGGAAATAATTTAGTCTTTTATTTTTAAGAAGTCTTTATCAAATGCAATGGAGAACTAAATAAATAAATCTATTTTGTGCAAATCAAAATGACAGTTAAAATACAGAATGCATATACATATTTTGCATAGAGGGTCCATGTTTCAAACCGTATATCAAATACATTAATTTGAAGCATATTCACTGTGGAATGTAATACTAATTGCACTGATGAATAATGCTTGTAATTACTCTCAATACCTGCATTCCAATATCAACGTGTTTTTGCCGAAGAAAACAACAGTGACACCACGTAGTTATACTTCTTACTAGAACATTTGACTGTTTAAAGTAAAGCGCTAGTGCATGAGCACGGTTGTACTTGTGTCTTTTCCTAAACCTTCTGGCAAAGAATTTGATCTCTCAGACATGAAAGTTAATTCGCAATAACTCATTATTATACGTTTTCTAATTTTTATCACATTCTGCGAAAGTGAGTCATCTATTAAAGAAAATATGTACAATGTCAATATTTCTCATTCACAACTGAAACAGCCTTGCCTAGACGGACTTAGAAAATTCCAACTGTGATCATTTCATAAATTTGAAATGGCATATTTCAGACTTAAACTGTGAAGATATCAAGTTTCTTGCCAAACCACATAAACGTTTTTGAAATGTGAAAGAGCCAAAGCAGGAACTGTTTTTATTTGTATTCCAGTTTCATATAGATTAGTTTCCTTTCGTTTGAGTTCAAATTGCAATTTTAACATTCCCTTCGCTGGCGCCCCTGAAAGAGATGTGAAATGGGTTGTTTCACAAGCAGGCCAGGGTTACTTACTTGCTATTTATTGCGGCAGTTTTCATGTCCTTCTATATTTAACCCCGGGCCCTTTTACCACCATCCCCTCCTGATTAACCACATTTCTGTTCAGAAGGTCAGTCTCTAATTTGGGGCTAAATAATGGCCCTTGTCTCGCACAGCGATCGATTATTTTCAACTCGATTTGAAAAATCAACAAAGTGGCCGTACAGTATTCCAGGTCCTTCCTCTCATTTGTTTTTCTGAGTGATAAGCAACTTACCTTTTGCTTTCAGATTCCTGAGACATAAAATTTAAATGCTACCGAAATCCCCTGCTCCAGTGGGTTGAGGGTCCGCTAGAGAAAGAAACTGACAAGCTCATTTTCCTGCCGGAGGCAAAAGCCGATTTCAGCCTTCGGCGCGCGGGGCGGGCCCCCACTAACCCGAGCCAAGAGCCAGGCTGCGAGCGTCACGTGCTCCGTCCAGCCACTCAGCCCTGCCCGGCAGGCTGGGTCACCTCGGCTCTGGAGGCCGGCCCTTCCAAACCTCATACAGTCGGTTCCTCCGGGTGCACAGAGAACCCCCGCGTCCCCGACACGGGACGCGCTGCCCGCTGGGGTTGGGCTGCCGGGACTACGGTGGTGGGAGTTCCAAGAATCGACGGGAGCTGGGACGCGGGGCGGTCTATAAAATGCCCTCCGAGGTCCGAAGTGACTTGCTCTGTGTTCCGGCTCGGCGGAAATGACTCAAGCAGAGGCACCTTCCTCGTCGTGGGGCGATTTTTTTGCCAGTAGGTTTCACCTTTTCTTCTCCAGGTGATTGTTCAAGTGTGAAGAACATTATAGCAAACAGGCAATTAAGGAAAAGCCTATAAAACTGGGGCGCACAGTTTTCAACAGAATGAGATCACTTCCGACATCCTCCACCTCCACCCATGAAACTGTCCTTTTGGCAAGGACTTAAAAAAAAAGATTACCCCCCCATAAGAATGTAAATTGAACAGTCTTCCTGGTGGGCTGTTTAGCAATTCCTACCAAAAACCTTGCAAATGTGCACGGGTTGAAACATAGTGGCCCCGACAGCTATTGCTGTCATTTGCTCCAGGAACTAGCCTCATTAGGAAAAAAGGAAAGGAACGGAAAGAATCGTGAAAGGAAGAATTGCTGCAGTATTATTTATGACCTCAAAGCACCAGCAGCAAGTTAAGTGGCCAGAAACAGAGGATTGGTTAAGTTTATAAGACATCGGTACAACACAAGAATTAAAACAGATATGGTAACAGATACTTTTCGACATGGAAGGACATTCACGGTGTCTTATATGAGAAAAAGCAAGCTGCAAAGCATTATGTGCTGAATGATCCGACGAATGTATGTAGGTGTTGAAGGGAAGCAGAAGATGCCACCCCCAAAATAGGCCACTTGGCATACTGATTATTTTGAATTAAAGGTACTTAAGAAACAGCCTGTGCAAATAAAAGACACTCTGACCTTCCTTGGTCCCCCCAAAGGCATGTGAAGGTACCCTGCCCCCCACCAGGTGGATAAAAGGCATCCTTATTAGGGAGAAAGGGAATTCACCACCTGGAAGGTGGTATAAACAAACCTTGTTACTTGCACTAATTTGCTAGCCCAAGCCCAAACCCCTTTGTTTCTCCAATTTTTCACAAACTTATGGTTTCCTTGTCTAGAAGGTATAAAAGCTGCCTGCTTTGGTGACTTCTTGGAGTCTCAGAATTCTATGGGCTCCCCTACCGTAGGAAATTAAATTTGTTTCTCTCCTGTTCGTCCATTTTATGTCAATTTAATTATTAGACCAGTCAAAAAACCTAGAAGGGAAGAAGGGAAGAGTTTCTCCTACAGTTTAATATATTTATATCTTCGCAAGCATATACCTTTGAACAGAGAAAACAACTGGGAAGCAAATTTACTAAAGTATCGACCTTAGTATTTCACTCAATAGTGAGATTAAGGGTATTTCTCATTTTCTTCTTTTTAGCTTAGCTGCATTTTCTAATTTTTCTACGATTAACATGCATTGCTTCTGTAACAAGAAACAGCTATTGCTTTTTTTTTTTAAAGCACTGTAGGAGACATGATCATGGATTATGTACATTTTGCTACTTTTTAACGCAGATTTCATTCCTTGAAGATTCTCAAATCTTAACCGCGAAGCCCGGAGAGAACAATTCCTAATCATCCTAGGTTATTCTGCTCATAAAAATCTTTAGGAAGGAAGATGGCAGCTCAGAACTGATGTTACCGTTTCATCGTCCGTAGGTCCAGCCTTAATTTCTCTTCCATTTAAATTCACTTCTTATTCTGCTATGTGCGAAGACTGAAAGATAGCCGTTAAGATCCTTCCTGAAAAGATTCTTCAAACACTTATGTAATAACCTTTGAGCTTTAATTTCTCCATACTGGCGCCTTCTGTTTTCTTCACAGACTTCTACTTGTTAATCCCTTTGAATCTTTTACATTTTTTTCCTCTTATCTGCTGCTGGTACATGGGACACTGTCTAGGGACAGTTTTGGCTGCCACACCTCGGGGCGGGGGGCCCCTGGCATCTGGTGGGTGAAGGCCCAGGGTGCTGCTCACCAACCTACAGTGACCAGGACAGCCTTGCAACAGAGAAGTTTCCAGCCCAGAATATCACTAGTGCCGAAGCAGAGAAACCCTGCTTATACAGTATAATTTGATTCACCCAAATCTTCCATTTCCCAGGCTTTTTTTTGCCTTTTTTTTTGGCACACAGCATGAGGGATCTTAATCCCCCGGCCGACCAGGGATCAAACCCAGGCCCCCTGCAGTGGAAGGGCAGAGTCTTAACCACTGGACCTCCAGGGCAGGACCTTCCCAGTCATTTTAAAGAGTTCACCATTGTATAACATGCTGGAAGCTCTGCTTCATTATAATCCCTTAAATGTGGTACTGCTGGCACGTGGGAAGTATGATTGCCTGTATCTTCATAGACTGTTTCAGAATTGATGCACAGGAAGCTGCAAAGGGTGGTTATCTCTGGGGAGCGGAACCCAGTGACTGGGACACAGAGAGGGAAGGGAAGTTTTCGTAGACATGGAAGCACACTACATGGTAAAAAACAAAACAAAATTAAAAAAAAAACTGTCTCTGGGATACAGTGTTACACCAGAACCAACAATGTCTTCAAATGTTCTCAGACACCATCTTGAAGTATTACATAACAACCACATTACAGTATTATTGTCTGCGCTATTTGTCAAGCTTCTGCAAGCCTCGATTTTCCCTTCTAGAAAGTGGGGAGCAGTAGAGGTAGTAAAAGGATCCACCACCTGGGGGCGTTTTGAGGCTTAAGTGAGGGCTCTGGAAAGAGTAAGCAGTGCTTTGCAGAGCCTTACTGCAGCCTGAGACGCAAGGAAAAATGTGTACCCCTATATATACTTATCAAAATACCTAGCATATTTGAGCCAAGTGGAAAAAGTTATAAAGACTCACAATCTAACACGCACACACCTATATATAAAGCCCCATGTGGCCCAGTTCATTTGCACACCATTGTCAACTCACATAAACCCACCCACAGGGACAAGCAGGGCATGTAACCCCTGGCCAGTTGGACATAATTATTCCCCTTACACAGTAATACAGGGTAAAACTGCACTGGTTCAATATGGTAGCCACTAGCGACAAGCTGCTATTCAAGTTTAAATTAAATTAATAAAATTTAAAATTCAGGGACTTCCCTGATGGTCCAGGGGGTAAGACTCCGCACTCCCAATGCGGGGAGCCCAGGTTAAATCCCTGGTCGAGGAGCTGGGTCCTACATGCACGCCACAACTAAGACCTGGCACAGCCTAAATAAATATTTTTTTTAATTAAAAAATATTTTTAAAATAAATTTCAGTTCCTTAGTCACACTAGCCACATGTCAAGTGCCTGATCGCCACATGTGGCTAGTGGCTACTATATTTTAGTGCAGATATAAAACAATTCCATCATTGCAGATAGTTCTATTGGGCAGTGCTGCGAAGCATTTCTTTTAAACTAATTCCATTGCAATAAAACAATTTGTGTTTATTACCCAGGGGATTCTGTCTGTAACTGCAGAGTAGGAAAAGCAATCTGGCCAGAGTATCTGTTGGTGGGAAGGACGGAAAACCGTAGATTCTAAAAGGCTGCGTGCCTCTCGCCATAGGTCCCAGACACGATGTTTCCAAACCAAAAGACGTGCAGCCTCTGCCTTTGGATGTAACCAAGGGCCTGCAAATCTTGCTCCAAAATGAGGTGGCAGTGTCTGATCACTGGTTTCAAAGCAAAAATTGAGATGCGTGACGAGAAAATATCGTCAGTCTACTTAACAGAGACAGACAATAAATCTAAAAACAATGATTAACTCAGCAGTAACGAGTACTCCTGGCACCAAGAAACCAAGTCTCCCTGGAGAAATGACCATTTCCAGGTCACAAACATCTGGTCAAGCAGGGTAGTGTTACCGAACCAAACTTGGTCCCCTCGCCCATGGAGCAGCAAAACCAATGTACTGACACCGGCTTGTGGTGAAGGAAAGCGCAGCGTTTGTTTCAAGGCCAAGGAAGAACTGGCGGCTTAGCTCAAAAGATCCGAACTCCCCAGTGGCTTTCAGGGAAGGGTTTTTAAAGACAGTGTGAGGGAGAGGGTGACAGGGTGTGTGATCAGCTAGCTCGTGCACGATTCTCTCATTGGTTGATGGTGAGGTAACAGGGTGATTTAAAAAATCAGGAATCTTGATCATCAACCTTCTGGTTCCAACTGGTCTGGGGTCTATGTGACCAGCACGCCATTAACTTCTTCCACCTGGTGGAGGTTTTAGTGCCTGCAGACAACTGAAGGGTACGGCCCAGGGTATTATCTATAGCCCCTGAGGAAGAACCAAAGGCCCTTGACCTTGTTTTATGGCTAAACTGTTATTAGTCTTACTTGAATATTTTCTTTTGTTTCTGGTTTTTTTTTTCTTCTCTTATTAAATTTTTCTTTTTGGAACTCAGGGAAGGTCTAGGATGCTAAAGCTTTTCTACATACAAGAGGTGGGCAGCGGACACGGGGCCTGGGCAAGTGTCTGTCCCCGGGAAGGCTCTGTAGGGTCCCGCTCCGTTTCAGTAGCAAGGAAGCCATCTCAGACTCCTGGGGACATATAAAAAAGGACCCAGCAGTCAACCAGTAGAGGTTGCCCCAGCTACAGAGGAGGGAATGTGAGCGTTAATAAGGATAACAACTCCAATGGATTAAAGCACACCAAACATATTTAAATTTGTGTTAATAATAACGATACAAAAAAAAAAATTTCCAAAAACCAAAAAAAAATTGGTCACCACTGTAACAGTGCTGGGGAAACAATTATTTTCAAAACTGGTCAATAAAGAAAAAAATCAAGCATTTATCTTGTTTTTCCCATACAAACTGTACCACTGGATAACCAAATAGACTAGTAAGTTTCTCTTTATAAAGGCATTTCAAAGTAAATAATAATGTTTTAAAAATTGAGAGAATATCATCATTTTTCAACCCTTAGTGAATTAATGGATCTATGTATTGATTATCAGTAGTTGCAAACCCTATAAAAAGAAACATTGTAAGTCACCTGATGGATGAAGGTATGTCTTGCCACCCATCCCAGCCCCCAAAAAAGAAAGGAATAAAACGAACTGGAATCTGATCAAGCTTTTAGGTTCAACAACAGCTTTTTTCAGCATTTATTTTTAGGAAATAAAGTTCAGAGGAACATGTTAAACTACACCCAGGGATACAATGAGCCAAGTCCAGGCTGTGGGAGATCAGAAAACACACAAATTAAAAGGTGTGTGTGTGGTAGGGGGCGTGGATCCTGTGAATTAAAAACCGACACAACTGCGCTGAGATGGCACTGTGCACCTATGAAGATGACAATGATCAAAATGACAAATGTTGGCCAGGAAGTGGAGAAACTGAAGCCCTTGTACACTGCCGGTAGGAATATAAAATGGGCAGCGGCTTTGGAAATAGTCTGGCAGTTCTTCAAATGGTTAAACATAGAATTACCATATGATCTAGAAATTCTACTTTTATGTATAGACCCAAGAGAAATAAAGACCTATGTCCACACAAAAACTTGTACACAAATGTACACAGCAACATTATCCCTATCAGCCAAAAAGTGGAAACAACCCAAATGGCCACGAACTGCCGAACAAACAAACACAACGTAGTCTATCTACACAAAGGAATATTACTCAGCAATAGAAAGGAGTGAAGTCCTGACACAGGCTACAATGTGGACGAGCCCAGAAGACATGATGCTGAGCGAACAAAGCCAGCACACATAGCATGTGATTCTATTTCCAGGAAACGTCCATGATAGGCAAATCCACAGAGAGAGAAAGATTGGCAGTTACCGGGGGTGGGGGGTGGGGGGAGGCGGAGAAATGGGGGTGACGGTTAACCGGCACAGGGTTTCTTTTTTTTTTCCGGTACGCGGGCCTCTCACTGCTGTGGCCTCTCCCGTTGCGGAGCACAGGCTCCGGACGCGCAGGCCTAGCGGCCATGGCTCACGGGCCCAGCCGCTCCGCGGCATGTGGGATCCTCCCGGACCGGGGCACGAACCCGCGTCCCCTGCATCGGCAGGCGGACTCCCAACCACTGCGCCACCAGGGAAGCCCCCATACCTCTATTTTTATGTTGAAAAAAATTATATACATTTTAATATATTTAAGTCTCTAATTACATTTTTTTTAAAAATCACACATTTCCATTCTGTTCTTAAGGCAGGTTAGTTTAATTTTGTAGAAGAAATACTTTCAAACAATACAAATGACACAATTAGAACAGTGACAAAAATAGAGATGAATACTGATTATAACTTATTCCCACAACAGAAGGTTACTTATTTCGGTGGTGACAATTACGTGACCAGATGAAGTGAAGACCGAATTCCCTTTTACTCATCACACTGTTTCTAAAGGACCCTGGTGGCAGACTTCGGATTGTCCAAGGCACGATTATGGGCAAACTTAAACATAAGAAAATACCCCTTAAGACGACAGGACTTCACTTTTCGGACATGTGGGATATTTTCCAGGGGGTGGCAGTCTTAACTAGTCGGAAGCTGCACAATCGATCACGAAAGAGAAGCCAGTTAGGGTGCCTCGTGCCCTGCCTGCTGGCCTGGCCTCTGTCGCTGTCCACGTGCCACTTCCAGCACAGCTTGCGAGTAGCACGGACCCGTCACCTCCCCGTCCTTCATCAGCCTGGCTTTTCCTTCCTTTCTGACTATGGTCCCATTCAGGTGCAAAAGCAGACAGGAGGGAGGCGGAGAAGCACAGGGGAAAGGCGCAAAACACAGCGCTCCTTGAACTGACACCAAAGCTGGGGCTGCATTTGTTTCTGGTGGGGCAAAGGAGGGATTTCCTTTTTTTTTTTTTTTTTTTTTAACTCTGGGATGGGGAAGCATTCCAAACAGAAACCTGTGTCTAGTGGGCAGTGACATTTGAAAACCCTTGCGGGCTTTCTGTATTGGCACAGTGGGTTTCCCCACGTTGCTACTTTGTAGGGGTTAGCAGGAAAGCTACCTCAACCTTTCCACCCACTTAGAGCTTCAACTGGCAGTGCCTAAACACAGGCCCGGCAACGCGGCCGGGGCTCTCCCACGTCTGGGGAGCCATGTACCTCAGACGCATATGACTTGCTCTCCACACACCCCCGAGTCCAGCGGCAGCCAACCCATCAATCTGAAGTTTCAACAGCTGGGGACAGAGAGGGCCTGCCACCAACCTGACCCGTGCAGCAACGCTGTCTCCTGGGGGGGCACTTCTGGCAAGCACTCATGTGTTTTGTGTCTCTACCTCTGTTGTGGGTATATATGCAGAGAAATTAGCAAAAGAAAAAAAACCGGGACTAGAGGCAGAAATACATAGCAAGAAGTGACAAGTGTGAAAAAGCACAGAGTTTTCAGCCTTACCACCACAGACAACTTCACTGTCCGTGATAGGTCACATATCAATGAAATGCTTTTACAAAATGCATTTTTAATAAATGTGAAAAGGAAGGTGGGTTATACAAGGGAGTGCTTACAGACGAATGAGAAGAGAGATGCTGCTGATTAAGGGGGGAGGGGCACTTTCAAGGGAGGGGCACAAAGACCCAGGAGGAGGGTTCCGTTTTCTTTTACATTTTGTGTGACTCACCTCGTTTACCTCTCCGAGGCCTCATGAAGGAGAGTGCATTTCATATATAATAAATACGTATTAGGCAAACTATACCACCTGGCATTTTTAAAGGATGGTATAGTTTTATTACGTAAAGAATTTTTTCCTCATGAGCTAGTTCTAAGATTTCTTAAGAAATATTGGGACGACTCCAGTATGGGGCGGGGGCCCTCCGATCGAAAGCACATGCTCTCCTGTGAGTGACTCGCCTGGTAGCTGTAGTTCCCACGGAAGCTGGCTTCCTCAAGAAAGCGCCTTCAAAGGTTATCGTGTCCATGTCGTGACTGCTCTATCCATCAGCGGATCCAGTGACTCAGTGAAAACACACCTTCCTTCTTCTCTTTTCACTTTCCTGCAGGGCAGAGCAGCAGAGCAGAAGCTCCACCACCGCCCTCCTTGTCGGTCAGGATCAGATGGGGCAGACTGGAAAGGCAGGCGGGGCTGCCGAGGCCGGGTGAGGGTGGGCTGTATGGCTGCCGGGGGCTCCGTGACCACCAGCCTCAGACCCGGGGTGGGCACGGAAAGGTGCACGGAAACCAGGGGCTATGGGTGCCCAGCCCGCGCGGGAGACCAAGCTCCGCAACGCACACGCCGCACTGACTCAGGACTGAGCCCCTAAGGTGGCATCGTAACAGAACACAAAGGGTGCAAAAGTGTACAATATACATGATAAATGCACAGAGGAGAAACGGGACGAGTGACGAGTTCAGCACATAGTGTTTGCATTTCGGATGTCAGACACAAAACCGGCCCCAAAGTTCCATTCTACCGCATGACAAATACTGAAGAACAAAATTTCAGTCTTAAAATACATCTTAAAGTCAGTATTTTCCTTCAAGGAAAAAAAAAGTACTATAAATAAATTACAATACAGTGAATTTGCCTGAACTCACTTCGTTTCTGTCTTCCAGCCTTTAAGTCAAATAAAACAGCGTAAAAACTGTACACTCTTAACATGATAATTGATCTCTTATAAAATAACCTGTCTTCAGAGATGTCAATTTCACAACAAGGAAAAACCAAGCCCTGTTGCCGTCACTATTATAAAATATATATGTATAGATATATGTGTTTTGTTTTTATTTTTTACAAAATGTGTATATTAATAGCTTTGCACAAATATTTTAAAGACAAATTTAGCTAGTCTAAGAACTTCATGAAAATAAAACAGGCAGATAAATACTTTATGTGTACAAAGCACTACATCAAACATCGTCGGCGGGCAGAGGAGGTACGTTAATCCTTGGTCTTGTAAAAAATGCTATCTTCTCCCTGCGATTGGAAAGAATTACAGGTTAGAGGCTGATAGAAATGCAGTGAAAGGTGGCAAGAGGCTCTGCCATCAATGACAGCTTTTCTGACTCAGAGAACACACTGAATTTCAATCCCCAGGGGCACATCTGTATACAAACCCTCTAAAGTTTCTTGCCCCGGCCCCCTCTCTAAATTTTAATAGAAGTTACAAAGCCCCATGAGGGCAAGGGTTTGTCTCCAGTGCCTAGAACAGTGCCTGGTATACGTAGATGCTCAGCAAATATTTTCTTTATGAATAAATGAAAAACTATACAAGGAGTTCTAAATCATAGTTGAAGGAAGATAGCTATAGTGTTTTATACTCTTTTATGATGGGGAGGTAAAAATTCAAGGTATAAAAAAATTAAGGCTAGACGTCAGGCACACATTATTTAGCCCTAAAAAGGAACACTGCACTGATTCATGCTACAACATTGATGAACCTTAAAAATACTATCTAAGTGAAAGAAGCCAAACACAAAAGACCACATACTGTATGACTCCTCTTATATGAAAGGTCCAGAAAAGGCAAACCCATAGAGACGGAAAGGAGAGTGGTGGCCGCCAAGAGCTGACGAGAGGTTGGCATGGGGAGTGACTGCTTACCGGGGGTACAGGGTTTCCTTTTGGGGTGACGGAAATGTTCTGGAACTGAATACAGATTGTGACTGTACTAAATGCCATGGAATTGTTCACTTTAAAATGGTTAATCTTATGCTTCATGAATTTCACCTCAATTTTTTAAAAAGCCAGACACAAAAGAAAATAGATTGACTGGGTGATTTTCCTCATATAAAAGATAAAAACAGGGAAAGCTAATCTACACTATTCAAATTCAAGATGGTGGTTATTCTGGTGTGGGAAATCTGGGGGTGCTGATAACATTTGATTCTTGCCATGTAGGGTTTATGACAATTCACTGAAATATTTCATATATAGGACGATATGCATGCTTTCCTGTATGTCTATTATGCTTCAATCAAAAGTTAACTAAATAAAAAAAAAGTTAACTAAAAAGGCAAAGGTGATACACATATGTATCTATATGTAGATCACTGTGCTGTTTACAGGAGCAAATATTTGGAAAGAAGCAGGGTATAAAATAGGTAAATTATATCTGTTAGATGAGACATTACAGCCAAAAAAGATAACAGATGATGTGGCAACATGGGGTATTTTAATTTAAAAAGAGCTAAATGCAAACTCGAACCCACACTGTGATTACAAGTAGCATGAAAAAACAGTGTTTAGAAAACAAGATCGGAAGCAACTCCGCACAATGCTAACAGCAGGGGAGATTCCTGCTTTGTCCTCGACTTCCTGTGGGTCCTTCTCAATACTTACTTTACTCTTCATAATGACAAAGGTATGACAGGAAAAAGCAAGCGGGAGAGTGAGGCCTGGGCTTCTCCCCACCTGAACGCCTGCACCTGGATGGGCTCTTTGAGGTTCTGCCCGCGCAGCTGGCACACCCCTTTGGAGGCCTTCTTCAGCATCTTCTCAGCTGCCTGTTCTTGATGGAAGTCAAGTTTGGTCTGTCTCGTCTGGAACAGCAACGCGGGGTGAACCAGACGGGTTTGCTTCCAGTTTTAAGGAAGACCGATGGAAGCCCCTGCCAGCTCCGGGCACCGGGAGGCGAGAAAGGCCCGCCCGCCTGCCCCCTCCCCCCGTTGGCGGGCCGGGGCCTCACCTGCCTCTCGGCCTCCCGCAGCAGGCTCCGGAAGCGCTCGTCGCGCAGCAGCCAGGCCGGAGGCTCGGCGTGGCCGCGGAGCTGGGCGTCCTCCAGGCGCTGGCGCAGCTCGCGCAGGGCGCACAGCTCCTCGTTCAGCTGCCGCTGCCGCGTCCGCGACGCCTGGAGGTCCAGCTCCAGGTCCAGGGACGTGCGCGCCGCCAGCGCCGCCAGGGAGGACCTGCAGGGCTGCGAGACGGCGGCCGTGAGCGCGCCCACCCCGCCCGCGCCCTGCCTGCAGCTTCTTCCCCGAGTGACCGACCCCACTGGAGGGAGACACCCGCAGCGTGGCCCGACGCCAACACAACACGGATGTGGGCGACACGGGTTCAAACCTCCACTCCGGTAACGAGCCAGTGACAGCAAGCTGTCCGCTGTAATGACGACCTAGGCTTTGGCTAAAGCGCAGAGAAACAGACCCTCTCACACGGGGCAGGAGGGCGTCATCTTTCTCAAGTGCTACTTGACAATATAAGCAAGAGCCACAAAATGTTGTGTTTTCTTTGGTTCTGAAATTTCATTTGACTTGCATCTGAAAGGCACAGCTGATGATGTGCAAAAGCTTTATGACAGAAAAATTCCTAAATACCTGACAAGAGAAAAGTGATCAAATACATTATAAGGCCCGCAGAAAACGCAGCTATTGTAAAAAGATGAAAAATATGCCGACATGGCAAAATCTTAACGGCCTACTGTATAACGGGAAAAAAGCACGTTATAAACCACGTTGAGGGCTTTCTGGTTAAACACACAAGCTGTCAAAAACGTTCCTCCCCAGGGAATTCCCTGGTAGTCCAATGGTTAGGACTCCCCGCTTCCAATGCTGGGGTGCAAGTTCAATCCCTGGTCGGAGAACTACAACTGCAAGCCGCGCAGCGAGGCCGAACATCAACAACAACAACAACAACAAAAAACGCTCCTCCCCACACACGCCTGAAGTAAGCAAGTCTCCTGTTTTCAAGAAAGCTCTAAGACGAGAATAGAATTTTGTACACGGAGCTGAGAGCAGTACTTCCCACGCCACGGCTAACAACGCTGGGGAAGGCAGTTAGCGCAACAAAATCACAACTCCACGAGCCTATCAGCGTTGTTGGGAGGACTGAATAACTGTATGCGTTTTACACACCCATAACACTATTTTGCACATATACAGAAGTTAAATGCAAATGTAAGTGACTTAATATACACAAACTCCTGAATTCATAGTAGAGCTCACTGGTTCCCAACCACGGGTGACTTGGGCCCTCCGGGGACATTTTTGGTCGTCACAACTGGGGGAGGGGGTGATACTGGCAACTAGTGGGTCAAGGCCAGGGATGCAGCTCAACGGCCCACAGTGCACAGGACAGCCCCCAACAAAGACAGACCTAGGCCAAAATGCCAACAGCATGGCTGCTGAGAAATACTTTTGTTGCTGAGTTATGTATTTTCTTATCATTCTCAGTCAGCGGCTACTCTAAATACAACCACCACAAGGAGATCTGGGAATTTTTTTTTCTTTCAAAGAATTCTTGCCCGGGCACTACCTTACAAATTAAAAGTAGCAAAAGTGTGTAAACTGGCGTGACGTGGAGAAAAAATCCGGTGTATATAAAGGAAAACTGTAGAACAGTCCTACGTAGGAGAATGCGCCACGGTGAAAGACCCAAATTTTCTAAACTGTATATACTCCCTTGTCAAAAAAGAAAGAAGAATCTCTTATACAGAATGGCTGTTTATTAATTTATTATATTTTAAAATGTAAAGATCATGTATTATCTTAGATTATGACATTATCTTAGGAAATTAACAAATATTGGTAACATATTGACATTATATACACTTCTAAAAATTATATCTAAGTAAACAAGGAAATAAACATATTACCTTTCAATTAATCTTACCTAAAATATTACCCCTTCGGGTTTGTAGAAGTAACTCCCAGCGTACATACAGACGGCAGATTAGTCTACGTGGCACATACCTGCTTATAGCGAAGGGTTCGTCTTTCCAAAGTGTTTCGGACAAAGGGGGACTTCCGGGGCAGCGTTGAACTGTCGCTGTCACTACGATAAAGCTACACCAAAAAGACTGAGGTTCAGAAACATTTCCTCAAGAATTCAACATTCATTCTCTGTGTACTCTGAACTGGATTATTTTGTTTCGTGCAGGTGCTCAAACAGTTATGACGTTTAGAGCTTTTACCAAGACTTTGGGTTTCGCTTACAAGAAAACCCCACACAAGAGTTTCAGGCCAAACAAAGACAAACCAAATAAGCAGACCAACCCCCAGCCCCACCCCTGCTTCAGGTCCATCAACCGAACCAGCTGAGGTTTTCCAGGCTAATCGAGCAACACAATTTCGGTCCTATCAATGCCAACTGCCACTTGGTACGGTGTGACGCTCATGAAAAGCCGCACTCTCCTCAGCGCTTTTCACTTTTTATCAGTCATTCTCATTTGCTGTGTTTCTAGCTTTGGCAAGAGCTGGGAAGAGTGGCGTTCCAGATAAGAGCCTCGTTCCCGGCAGGAGGACAAGGCCACACCACTAACACCCACCCTGCCCGTCAAGGGAAAAGGCCTGTCTTTAAAAAGAAAAATAAATAATGCCGACTTCACGGGAGCCGAGACGTTACATATTTCATTTGGCGGCAGGTTTTCATTTCAGGATCAACATATATCTGTGTGAAAGCAAAGTCCTGGCCTTCACGGCCTTACTTTCCATGCCAATGAACCCCAGATAGCAGGAAATGTTGCAGCACTGCACTTACGTGCCTCCCAATCATCACAAACATATATAAAAACAGAGGCCTCTAGAAGCATCGCCGGTCAGTGCGTGCCTTTGTGCAGGGCGCAAAGCACAGTGCAGGGGCTGGAGGCCTGTCTCTGGGGCGGTGAAGGGCTTCCTCCTTCACCACCCCATCCTCCTCAGCAAGCAGGCGGGAGGCTGCTCCACAGGGGTTCGGCAAGAGTCTAGGATAAGGAAGGATGGCCTTCGATCAGGCACCTCCAGCCGCGTGATGAAGCATCAGGCCCCACAGGGCTGCAGCCTGATGGGGCGGGAGTGCCCCGCCTGACCCTGGGCTGCCCGGGGCAGCGCGACCGGGACACCTCACTGCGTGGGGAGAGGAGCTGCAGGCCTCGCAAACGTGGCCACCCGGGCCCCAGCCCCTGTTGCTCCCTCCTGTGAGTAAAGGATTCCCTGCCCAAGAAAGGTGGGCTCCCTGCTCAGCTCCTGGGCAGTGACCTGTAAGTCCCTAGAACGTTCTAAGTGTCTCTGTTTACCTGGGGACCTTGGCCTGGCCGCACAGTCTCTGCTGACAATGTGAGGGGGGCCCTGGGCCACCAGCTTGACCCTGGAGGGGCTGCAGACGAAGGTCAGCCACGTCGGCCACCAGCAGTGCCCCGTGACCACCCCTACAAAACCCCTGGGCACCAAGCCTCGGGTGAGCGTCCCTGGTCGGCTGTGCTCCGGGCACGCTGCCACTGCTCCGAGAGGTGAGAGCTGCCGCACAACTCCGCTGCGGCAGAAGGGTTGGAAGCTCCGCCACGTCTCTCCGGAGCGCTGCCCGACGCCTCTTCCCTCTGCGCGTCAGTCTGCACCCCTTCCCTGTGGCGCACCATCATCGTGGATACGACGGCTTTTCTGAGTTCCGTGAGTCCTAGCCAATTTCTGAGCCTGAGGGTGGGCCTGGGGACCCCTCAGTGTCTCCCACGTAGGCCTGAGGGTCTGCCTCTCTCATATGATCAAACTCTGGCTTTGCCCTAATGCAGCGGCCCCTTGGTAGCCCTTTCAAGGGAAGATGCTTTCTCCAACGAGCCCCGTCAGAGGAGCGGGAGGGTCAAAGCTCTCCTCGAGCCAAACGGCGCCCCAGTCTGCTGCGTCGTGAGCACTTATCCTCAACAGCGCCTCGTCTCTGCTAGTCTGTGCCGTCACTGTCACACGGCCACGGCCAGCCAACCTCCAACCTGCTGTCCTGTCTCCACGGACCACAGCAGGTGGGGTCTCCCCCTCCACCTGTCTCAGAGTTCTCAACCCTGCGTGCAGGTGAGGATGTGCCGGGAGCTCCAACCCTCTGCTGCCCAGCCCCGCCCGCGACCGATGAAGAATCCTTCCAGGCAGGTGGCAAAGGACTCCCGACTTACTCTGCAAACGTACTGGCTTCGCGCTCCGGGCGAGAAAGTCTGGGAACGGACAATGGTGCTGCTCCGCGTGAAGGGCGAGCCGCGGGCCCTGCGGCCAGGCCTCTCCTTCGGCAGACTCGCCACCTCTTCCGGGAAGAGATCTTCTGTGTTGGTTTCCTTATCAACCTAGATAGTAATTTATTGTTTACCACGACTCTTTCTAGAACACAAGCATTAAATTAGTGGAGTCACCAAACAACCTTGCCATTGCCACTGGAGCTCTAACTGGCATTTCACACTTAACACGTCCAAAATGGAATTTCTGATATTCCCTCTGCCAAGGATCTCTACTTTCCCATTTGTTCCAGCAAAAAAAGGGTTCGTGTCATTCTGGACCCAGCTCTCTTTCATACACCCTATATCTGGTCCAAGATTAAATTCTGCTGGCTCTGTGTTTGAGATTAAGCACGTTTTGACCTCCTATCACCAACCCTCCATCGGGGTCACCATCGTCTTGAGCCTGATTAGCGCAGGAGGCTTCTCACCCGTCTCCTGGATTCCACGCCTCCCTCCTCCCTTCAAACCCTTCTCAACACAGCACCAGGGACATCCTGGTAAAAACTGAAGTCAGACCCAGCAATTCCACTCCTAGGTGTATACCAAAAAGACCTGAAAACAGGTGTTCAAACAAATACTTGCACACAAATGTTCATAGCAGCCTTACTCAAACAGCCAAAAGGTGGAAGTAGTCCAAACATCCACGGGTGGATGAGAAGCTAAACAAAACGTGGCATACTCATGCAAGCGATGAGAAGGAGGGAAGTGCTGGTAGATACTACAGTCTGATGTACCTTGAAGACATTAGGCTGAGTGAAAGGCCAGTCACAAGAGGCCACATGCTGTATGAGCCATTCATTCATTAATTTTTACTGAAGCATAATTGACTTACTATGTTGTATTAGCTTCAGGTGTTCAACATACTGATTACATATTTTAATACATTACAAAACGATCACCATGATAACTCTAGTTACCGACTGTCACCATACAGAGTTTACACAATATTATTGACCTTATACCCTATGCTGTACAGGACATCCCCGTGACTTACTTATTTTATAACTGGAAGTTTGTACCTCTTAATCTCCATCACTTATTTCCCTCATCCCCACCCCCTCAACCCCCCTGGCAACCACCAGTTTGTTCTCTGTAGCTATGAGTCTGTTTCTGTTTTGTTATGGTTGTTCATTTGTTTTGTTTTGTTTTTAATTCTACATATAAGCGAAATCATGCAGTATTTCTCTTTCTCCAACTTATTTAGCATAACACCCTCTAGGTCCATCTGTGCTACTGTAAATGGCAAGATTTCCTTCTTCTTTATGGCCAGTATTTCACTGCATATTATGTATATACATATGTATGTGTATATATGTGTGTCTGTGTGTATACATATATACACACATATATACCCCATCTTCTTTACCCATTCATCTATTGACAATGGACACTTAGGTTGTTTCCACATCTTGGCTATTGTAAATAATGCTGTAATAAGTATAGGGGTTCATATATCTTTTCTAACTAGCGTTTCTGCTTTCTTCAGAAAAATACCCAGAAGTGGAACTGCAAGATGGTGTGGCAGTTCAACTTTTAACTTTTTGAAGAACCTGCTTACTGTTTTCCACAGTGGTGACACCAATTTACATTCCCACCAACAGTGCACAAGGGTTCCCTTTTCTCTACATCCTCTCCAATGTTTGTTATTTGTTGTCTTTTTGATGATAGCCATTCTAACAAGTATGAGGTGATACCTCATTGTGGTTCTGATTTGCATTTCCCTAATGATTAGTGACACTGAGCATCTTTTCATGTGTCTGTTGGCCATCTGAATGTCTTCTTTGGAAAAATGTCTATTCAAGTCCTCTGCCTAGTTTTTAATCAGGTTGGTTGTTTTTTTGATGTTGAGTTGTCTGAGTTTTCTGTATAGTTTGGATATTAACCCCTCGTCGGATATAACGTTGGCAACTATCTTCTCCCATTCAGCAGGCTGCATTTCTGTTTTATTGATAGTTTCCTTCACTGTGCAATAGCGTTTTAATTTGATAAAGTCTCATTTGTTTTTTGTTTGTTTGTTTCCCTTGCCTGAGGAGAGATATCCTAAAATACATTGCTAAGATTGATGTCCAAGAGCATACCTACCTATGCTTTCTTGTAGGAGTTTTATGGTTTCAGATCTTACATTTAAGTCTTTAAACATTTTTAAATTGAATGGGAAAGTAGTCCACTTTGATTCTTTTGTATGTAGCTGTCCAGTTTTCCCAACACCATTTATTGAAGAGGCTGTCTTTTCCCCTCTGTGTTTTCTTGCATCCTTCATCATAGATTAGTTGATTATATAAGTGTGGGTTTATTTCTGGGCTCTCCACTCTGTTCCATTGACCCATGTGTCTTTTTTTGTGTGTGTGCCAGTAGCATGCTGCTTTGATTACTGTAGCCAGTAGCATGCTGCTTTGATTACTGTAGCTTTGTAGTACAGTTTGAAATCAGGGAGCATGATACCGCCAGCTCTATTCTTCTTCCTCAAGGTTGTTTTGGCTATTCGGGGTCTTTTGTGTTTCCATACAGTTTTTGGATTATTTTTTCTAGTTCTGTGAAAAATGCCTTTGGTATTTTGATAGGTATTGCATTCAATCTGTGGATTGGCTTGGGTAGTATGGTCATTTTAACATTAATTCTTCCAATCCATGAGCATGGTGTATCTTTCCATTTGTTTGTGTTGTCTTCAATTTCTGTCATCAATGACTTAACACTTTTCTGAGTACAGGTCTTTTACCTCCTTGGTTAGATTTCTTCCTGGGTATTTTATTCTTTTTGATGCAGCTGTAAACTGAATTTTTTTTTTAATTTCTCTTTCTGATAGTTCATTGTTAGTGTATAGAACTGCAGACGATTTCCGTATATTAATTTTATATCCCTTAACTTTAAATGTTGCCACTTTACTGAATTCACTGATGAGGTCTAGTAGATTTTTGGTCGCGTCTTTAGGATTCTCTGTGTATAGTATCATGTCATCTGCAAACAGTGACAGTTTTACTTCTTCCTTTCCAATTTGGATTCCTTTTACTTCTTTCTCTTGTCTGATTGCTGTGGCTAGGGCTTCCGATACTATGTTGAATAAAAGTGGTGAGAGTGGGCCTAGCTCCTGATCTTAGAGGAAATGCTTTCAGCTTTTCACCATTGAATATGATGATAGCTGTGAGCTTATCACGTATGGCCATATGTGGTCAAGTTATGTTCCCTCTCTACCCACTTTCTGGAGATCTTTTATCATAAATGGATGCTGAATTTTGTCAAAAGCTTTTTCTGCATCTACTGACATGATCTTGATTTTTATTCTTCAATTTGCTAACATGGTGTATATCTCTTAGATTGATTTGTGGATACTGAACAATCCTTGCATCCCTGGGATAAATCCCACTTGAGCATGGTTTGCTAGTATTCTGTTCAGCATTTCTGCATCTATGTTCGTGAGTGATATTGGCCTGTAGCTTTATTTTTTTGTGGTGTCTTTGGTTTTGGTCGGGGTGATGATGGCCTCATAGAATGAGTTCAGAAGCACTCCTTCCTTTTCAATTTTTGGAAATAGTTTGAGAAGAATGAGTGTTAACTCTTCTTTAAATGTTGGTAGAATTCACCTGTGAAGCTATCTGATCCTGAACTTTTGTTTGTTGGGAGTTTTTAAATTACTGATTCAGTTTAATTACTAATAATCAGTCTGTTCATATTTTCTATTTCTTTCTGATTCAGTTTTGGGAAATTGTATGTTTCTAGGAATTCATCCATTTCTTCTAGGTTGTCCAGTTTACTGGTATACAACTGTTCATAGTAGTCTCTTATGATCCTTTGTATTTCTGTGGTGTCAGTTGTAACTTCTTTTTTTCGTTTCCTTTTTTTCTTTTTTTTTGCTATGCCATGCAGTCTGTGAGTCTTAACCACTGGACCACCAGGGAAGTTCCCTCTTTTTTTCATTTCTGATTTTATTTATCTAGGCTCTCTTTTTTTCTTGATGAGTCTAAAGGTTTACCAATTTTGTTTATCTTTTCAAAGAACCACTTCTTAGTTTCACTGATATTTTCTATTCTTTTTAGTCTCTTTCATTAATTTCTGCTCTGATCTTTCTTTCCTTCTACTAACTTTGGATCTTATTTGTTCTTCTTTTTCTAGTTCCTTTAGGTGCTAAAAAAAAAAAACAAAAAACTCCCAAATGCAGATTTTCAACTGTGAGGTGGGTCAGCACCCTTAACCCCTGTGTTTTTCAAGGGTCAACTGCAGTCGTGCTTTTGGTACACCTGTGGGTGGAGATGAGCTCTTCCTTACTCTGTCATCTTGGCTACGATCCCCTGGAGTCTGATCTTTTAAACCCTGGATGATTCCATTTACACAGAACAACCAGAATTGGCAAATCCATAGAAACAAAGCAGATTGGTGGTTGCCAGGGGCCGGGGAGAGATAAGGGAGAGTGAATGCTAATGGTTATGGGGTTTTACTTTGGGGTGAAAGAAACGTCTTGGTACCAGAGAGAAGTGGTGGTTGCACAACATTGTAAATGTATTCAAACTCACTGAAATGTTCACTTTGAAAGGGTTCATTTTATGAGAATTTCATATCAATAAATTATTCTAGGAAAAAATTTAAAAAGTGAGTCAGATCACATCACCCCTGGGTTCAAAACTATCCACCAGTTTTCCAATGCTCTCAGAGAAAAAGCAAGAGTCCTGAGTAGGCCCTATATGATGTGGCCCCTTGACTCCCTCTGTCCTCAGCTCTGATGCCTCCTTACCCCGACCCCGCCCGCACTTGCAGCTCCCTGCACCTGAATGCCCATACCCAGCCCCACACAAGGCTCCCAGACTCCTTCCTTAAGGACTTTGCTCAAAAACTGCCTTCTCAGTGAGACTTCTATGACCTTTCATTTCTATTATAAAAAATACATAAAATTAACCATCATGGACTTCCCTGGTGGCGCAGTGGTTAAGAACCCACCCGCCAATGCAGGGGACACGGGTTTGAGCCCTGGTCTGGGAAGATTCCACATGCCGCGGAGCAACTAAGCCCGTGCGCCACAACTACTGAGCCTGCACGCCACAACTACTGAAGCCTGCGTGCCTAGAGCCCACAGTCCACAATAAGAGAAGCCACCACAATGAGAAGCCTGCACATCACAACAGAGAGCCCCTGCTCTCCGCAACTAAAGAAAGCCCGCATGCAGCAATTAAGACCCAATGCAGCCAACAATAAGTAAATAAGTAAAATTTACCATTGTAACCATTTTTCATTGTGCAGTTCAGTAGTATTAAATATACTTACATTGTTGTGGAAGAGATCTCTAGAATTTTTTCACCTTCCCAAACTGAACTCTGTCCCCATTCAACAACGCCCCATTTCCCCATCTCTAGCCCCTGGTAACCACCATTCTACTTTCTATCTTTATGAATTTAATTACTTTAGGAATCTCATATAAGTGGAATCGTATAGGATTCATTCTTTTGTGACTGGCTTATTTCACTTTGCACAATGTCTTCAAGCTTCATCCATGTTGTAGCCTGTGACGTGACTTCCTTCCTTTTCAAGGCTAATATTCCATAGTACATATATATACCACTTTTTCCTTACCCATTCAGCTGTCAATGGACACATGGGCTGCTTCCACCTCTTGGCTACTGTGAATAATGCTGCTATGAACGTGGATGTGCGAGTATCTCTTGGAGACCTGCTTTCAGCTCTTTTGGATGTACACCCAGAAGTGGAATTGCTGGATCATATGGTAATTCTATTTTTAATTTTTTTTAAATAGATTTATTTATTTTTGGCTACATTGGGTCTGTACTGCTGCGCACAGGCTTTCTCTAGTTGCAGCGAGCAGGGGCTACTCTTCGTTGCGATGTGCGGGCTTCTCACCGCTGTGGCTTGTTTTTGTTGCCGAGCATGGGTGCACGGGCCGTGTGGCTCACGGGCTTAGCTGCTCCGCGGCATGTGGGATCTTCCCGGACCAGGGCTTGAACCCGTGTCCCCTGCATTGATAGGTGGATTCTTAACCACTGCACCACCAGGGAAGTCCCTAGTTTTAATTTTTTGAGGAAACTCCATACTGTTTTCTACAGCGGCTGCACCATTTTACAGTCCTGATGTTTGTAGATACCAATTTACATTTCTAAATGTAACCCTTTCTAAAATGGTAAATCTTTCTAAAAATGCAAACTCTGCTTCCCTACCATCTCATTCTTCAGTAGCCCCTTTGACTATCTCAAATGCTGCTGTATTTTACTGGTTTACCCTGTCTGTTACCCACAGGGCAGGACTTTCCATTTGTTACTTTGCTGTTGCATCTGCAATGCCTGGCAGCTACCACATGCACATGGAAAGAGATAATGCAAATGTGGTGAAGAACTAACAACTGGGGAGTCTAGCTGAAGGGGATACGAGTATGTGTTGTACTATTCTAGCAACTTCTCTGTAGATCTGAAGTGCTTCAAAATTAAAAGTTGAGGGAGGAGGACACACCAAGCTAGCCTCCCACAGCTACTGCCCCTGACATGGGCCAACGCTTGTCAAACTCTTAGAAAGAGGAATAATGGCCATGACCGGCAGCCGCGCCCAGAACATCTCTCCGCCCGAGGCACTGCATGGGCTGCAGTGCGGGAGGCTGCAAGCAGGCAGCTCTCACTTCTCTCAGGACCTGTGTTTTGGACTGAGATCAGGGGCTGTGGTGGTAGACGTTCTGATGAGTTGAACAGTTGGGAAACGAAGTTGCAATCGAGCACTGATACAGTGTCTCCCAACCCCACTGCGTTCCTTAGACATTTGTCACCACAAACCTGAAAATTTCCCCAGTGGAGATACATTGATGGGCACAACTAGGATCGGATGAACAGAAGGGGCAAAAGGATGCTTCACTGCTCTTAATGTCAGAAACGGAGAAAAACGACAAGCGTCCAAAACGTTAGGAACGCACAAAACACCCTGAGCCACACGCGGCCCTGAAGATGGCACCTGAAGGAGTAAAAATCCACCCCGTTTAGTTGTCCTTTCCTTTTAATTTAAAGTAGACAGGGGGCTTCCCTGGTGGCGCAGTGGTTGAGAGTCCGCCTGCCTATGCAGGGGACACGGGTTCGTGCCCCGGTCCGGGAAGATCCCACATGCCGCAGAGCGGCTGGGCCCGTGAGCCATGGCCGCTGAGCCTGCGCGTCCGGAGCCTGTGCTCCGCAACGAGAGAGGCCACAACAGTGACAGGCCCGCGTACCGCAAAGAAGATAAAATAAAAAAAAATAATTATTAAAGTAGACAGGCGTTTCCATGGTACCTGCTGTTTACAGATCTGAGGCCACTCACTTCAGTTCCCTCGCGTAGGGCACACAGGCCCTCCTTCCAGGGCAGCACCTGGTGCTGTGAGGCAAAACATCAGGGGCTCCGCGAAATCCTTTGTCCTTTTGTTCTTACCTTCAGAGGTGGGGGCTGAAGTTTCTCCGGGCCGTAAGGGTCTGCCTGGCCAGCAAACGTGTGTCCGTGGATGGAGCTGACACCAACGCAGCAGGGCTCTGGGTGCGGGGGGCTGGTCTGGGCGCAGCTGCTACAGCCACTATCCACCGAGTCGGCTTGCCAACTCCTGAAGGCGGGCATGGCAACAGCCCCCAAAACGTTCATCAGGGCACTGACTTTACTGCTGCACTCAGAGCACAGCAGCAGACACACCCAATATTTGCTACCAGTGACTGAAGACGGTTGCTTTTCTTATAAAATGAAAGGCAGTTCTGTTTCGTAGGGAAGACAGAGCTACAAGGCCTTTCATTAAGAGGGTCTGCCTGTGTGTATCGCCCAATTGCAGCCGCTGAAGATGCCAGCATCCCGGAACCCCCTCTCCCCGAGCCCGCCCAGCCTCCTGCCCATCCCTGAACACACACCCTTCCCCCTCTGCCGTGCACTTTCCCTTCCGGAAATAAATTCCTCTTGAAAATAAATCCAGAGAAAGCTATTAGGAAGAAGTAGCAAGCTTTGGAAACATGATGCTCTTTATGGAAAACCGTGGAAATAAAGCAACACGAAAGTGCTGCTGGAAAGGACCCGCCGGGAAGCGATTCCCTCGCGGTGCCTGCCCATCTGAGCTATTCCTCTACTGCAGACACGTCTGCCCCGAGTCCAGCGTTCACCCACGGGCTGCTCCGGGGAAGACGTAAAGGGGCATCGCATGATTCCATTTACAAGAAAGGCCCAGGACAGGCAAATCCCTGGAGATGGCACGCAGATGGGCAGTTGCCAGGGGCTGGGAGGACTGGGTGGACTGGTAATGGGTATGGGGTTTCCTTTCGGCACGATGAAAACGCCCTCAACTTGAGTGTGATGTTGGGGGCACAGCTCTGTGCCTGTACTAAAAACCACCGAATTGTCCACTTAATGGGTGAACTGTATGGTAGGGAGATTATATCCCAATAAAGCAGTTAATAAAGAAAAAAACAAAACTTAAAGGGCCCTATTGTATTCAATCTGGGCAGACGGAGTCCCTCAACAGTCCCCCCTTTAAGAGAAATTCGGGGAACAGAGGGAAAGGTGAAAAGCCTATGCGTAGAGCTGGGGTCAACGTACTGCCCTCGTGCAGACTGGCATACGATCCCCTGTGAGAATCCCGACTTCTGGGCAAAGGTACCGAAGAGCCCGCCGCACACATTCTACGCAGCGTGGCGCCTGACGAACACCCCGGCGGCCTCTCCCCCGAGGGGCTGCTGGCCGCGCTCACCTCTCGGACACAGCCTCGGCCTGCTCCGCCCTGCGCTCCATCTCCACGACCTCCTCCTCCGTGTACTCCAGCTTCACCCGCTCCTCGGCCAGCTCTCTCTCCACCGCCTGCAGCTGGGCCGTGGTTCTCGCCAGCAGCACCGTCACCGCGTCCTACAGGACCAAAGGGACGTTGCTAAGAGGCAGCCGAGGCCAGCGGCGTGCGGGTGGCAAAGCGGAAAGCGGCGCGTGCACAGCCCGTGGGGAGCATCCCTGCCGCCGGGCTGGTGGCCGTCCCCGGCTGCTCTCCAGCGGGGAAGCAGCTCACCCCCCGCTGGCAGCAAGACAGTAACTTGGCCTTTCCACGTGGCTCTGAGGACTCAAATTTTAAAGCAACCAATGCATCACTCATGATCATGAACAAGTTGCATTAAAGAATATTACCATGAATGGCCACATACATCACTATAGTCCGTTTTTATTACTTCCCTTGAAACCCTGCTTCTTCGTCGCCACTGTGCTCTAAGACTAAGTCTACACGCGTTTCTTAGAAACAATGTCCCCAGGAAAAGCCCGTCTCAAAGCCAGGCCACCTACTGTCTTTCCAGACGTGGCGGCCACAGGGTCCCGGGAGTCGCTGTGTCCCAGCCGCTCGTCCTCCCGCCGCGGGGGCTCAGGGCCGGTGAACACCTGCACCGAGTACCAGCGCAGCTGCATCTCGCTCGAACCGTCGTAATCAGCCAAGTTAATCTGAGCAATGCCCTGTGTGGTGTTTAAAAAAAAAAAAAAAAAGCAGAACAGGCCCTCAATGACTACACCTTAACAACCAATGGGCATCAAAGTCACCCTTTAATCTTAAGCAGAAAGGCCATACAATGTGTCACTGCTATTCAAAGGATGCCGTACAATGAAAGTCATCAAAGAGGATCGTAACGGGGGTGGCTCCTCGCTTGCTTGTTCAGCCCGATCAGAAAGTGCTAGAAGGGGAACAGGGGCAGAGAATGGACGACATGGAATGGTGGGTCAGGCTCAGGATCTGCCACTCAAAGAGCCGCTGATTCTAGCAGGAACTTTTGAAAAAACAGAGGACTGGTGTAAAATAATATAAATAAGTAAATAAATAACCCCGCCCCCCCCCCCAAAAAAAAAGAGAGAGAGAGAGGATTGGTGGAACTCTCCAATCTCTAATTCTGCCGCTGAAGGGGTGGGACCAAGGGGGAAAATTCCAACCTTGGGAAGAAAGCACCCTGGCTTCCAAGCCCTGGCCCTGCACTGGCTGGCCGGGGTGAAGACGGACTGCTGACCTGCCCAGTTATAAGGTTGCCAGATAAAATAGAGGGCATCTGGGTGAACTGCAATTTCAAATAAACAGATTTTTTTAAAATAGAGGTACGTCCCAGATATTACGTGGGACATACTTACACTAAAAGGCATCCATAGTTTATTTGAAATTCAAATTTAAGTGACCATCCTATACTTCTATCTACCAAATTTCTCAACGCAAGACAGGGATAATGCAGAAGCCGTTGCACAGGAGTTTTGCAAGTATTAGCTGAGATAATATATTTAAATTACAGAACACTTGACAAGATAAGGGGTCTTATCATCCCTTTCTGTCCTCCCAGCTACAGAGATCACTTGACATCAGGACACAGGAAGGAGGGGAGGGAGGGGGAGAGGGTGAGGAGGGCGCCGTACCAGCAGTTCTTCCTGCAGCTGCGGATTCACTGAGCACACGTATAACTGAAGGGACTTCAACGTCACCATGCTTGAATGCACAGGGATTCTGAAAACTTCATTAAATATCAGGGGGGCTTGCAATTCCAGAGCCTTAGAGCAGTAAGTGTTTGGCGTGCCGGAGTCAAGCGGGGGCAAATAGACGCGGATGTGTCTGGAACCAAGAGAGGAAGGAAAAAGCAGACAGAGGCAGCCTGACACATCTGCACGTGACACGCATGGACCACATACGTGTGCACATACGCCGCCCTATTCCACTGCCCATGTGCAGAATTTTAATGTCTTTTGGAAAAGATCCTTTTCTCAACTAAGAGTAAGCCCAAAGAACTTACGTGCCCCCGGAGATCAGGGGGAAAAACCCAATCACAAAGAGAAGACTTCCAAGTCAGCGGTTAGGACTTCAGGCGGACTCAAACGGAGGTCTGCTTTTACCATCTTTGTGGGAAAACATCTGCACTGATCTCTCCACGGCCCCCTGGCTCCCTCTCCAAGCCCTACCTGCCTTGCCTCTCAGAGTGCTGGCCCACCCAGGCACCCGCCGGGCTGGGCTCCCGGCCCTATCCACCCCCAGCGTGGAAGCCAGCACCCAGGAGAAGCTCCAGCATCAGTGGAGTGAAGTACACGTCAGGGCGAGCAGAATCCCAGGGCGAACCCTCAGCCGCTGAAAACCAGGCTGCTTCCAAGGCCTTCGGGAGGCCAGTTTACAAAGACGACTCACGGAAGGGGAGGGCACCGTCGGGCGTGAACACCCATCACCGGTGGGTTCACCCGCCAGGGTAAGTGGGACCTCACACCCCCATCGGGCACCCATCTCCCCACTGGGGACAACACAGATTTCCTTCTCCCTGCTCGGACAAGGATGCCTGAGCCCAGCCTGAGGCCTCTTCAGGCACCTCATCAGATCGCAAGAGCCGAGTGTGGCTGTGTCGCCACCAGCCTTGTGACCAGAATGGACGTTTTAAGCCCCAACGCTGCTGATGATGGGCACCCGGCACTTTGTCAGCATGGCCACGGCACATAACCAGCCTGGCTCCAGTAACTCCACCTGCCTCAAATAATAAACCAGCCTCTTCTTAAAACTTACAATCCTTTAGATTTCAGACAGACACCCCCTAGCGTTTTATTGTAAATTCAGGTTCCAAGACAGTCTTTTCCCTCCCCAAACTGCCACGTGCAGCAGGTCAGCCAGTGGTGCCATGTGGAGGAGAGCCCGGGGGGGAGGACATGGCCCCCACTGGCGCGGGAGCTTACATTTTGCAGTCTTCCTTCACCACCAGCCCGGCAAAGTTCTTCAGCTGGAGCACGTTCACGAGGAGACACTCGCTGGCACTGTCGTGCCTAGAAAATAAAATGCACGTTCACAGACTGCAAATGCCCCACGGTGCAGAAATCCTGCTTGAACGACTGCAGTGGTCCTCACCCCACCCCCAGGGGACCTGTGCAAAGTCTAGAGGCGTTTCTTACTGTCACACTGAGTGGAGGGGGGCTACTGCGTGTAGTGGGTGGAGGCCAGGGCTGCTGCTCAACACGCCAGAGGGCACAGCACGGCCCCCCACCGAGAGTGACCCAGCCCGAACGCCACGAGTGCCGAGAAACACTAGGATGACAAGAGTGAGCAAAAGAAAGCTGCTGGGATGTGAACATCCTGCCTCGTTCGTCTGAACACTGCTGGTAACTGCCTTTCTAGACACTGTAGCTAGAAACCAGAACGCTTAGTGTTGCACAGCACCTGGCTACCCCAGCTCCGGCGGGAACTTCCCCGAGGGCCGGACTGTGCCCATGGGGTGAGGGTCCCCGGCTGTGACTCGTTGTTGGAGGACGGCAATGGAGCCGCTCTTGCCCATCTCTCCTTCCCGCCACCTCTGTCCCTTCACCTGAGACCGCTGAGATGGGCCCGGGGGCACCCAGGCCAGGGAGCAGCAGCCGGATCACGCGGGTCCCTCCATCCCTCCTGGCCTGTGTGTGGAGGTGTGAGTCGCCGGGCGGGCCCCAATCTACCCATCGTCTTTACGAGCAACAGGGAAGGAGTCTTCTGTACTCACAAAAATCCAACATGGATCTGGGGCCCCTCGTTACCGCAAGCGTCTCCACGCGCAGGGTCGTCAGCATCCTCACTCCTGAACACAGTCGGAAAGGCACCGCGTTATTCCGGGGGGGCCTGGTTACCTCGGACTCGGCAGAAGCTCTCTCACACTAGGGGTGCTTCTTACTGAGAAGGGCTTTATTAAGTTGCAACATAAATAAATGCTTTAAGTGACTGGCAGGGCACGGCAGGTCCCCAGGATCCATGACGTCACCTCCCAGGGTACCTGCTGACGAAGTGGCCTTTTTGAGAAAATACCTCTCAAAACCACATGTGATATTTACGACAAAGATCAAAAACATATACTCTTAAAAGCTTTGCAGGGGGGACTTCCCTGGCGGTCCAGTGGTTAAGACTCCGCGCTTCCACTGCAGCGGGCGCGGATGCGATCCCTGGTCAGGGAACTAAGATCCCGCAAGCTGAGCAGCGCGGCCAAAAAAAAGTTGGCGATAAGTGAAATGTATACAGATATCTGAGCTGAAAAAATGACATCAAAGGTCTCAAACAAAATAAAGCCCACAAGGGGTTTTGTCCTTGCAAAGTCGATTCCTCCAGCTAAGGAAAGGGGACGGGGGAAACATCCATTTCTAGTGAACGTCCTTTCTAGAAAAGCAGGTCTCCCTCGCACACTGGTTCTCCTTTTCCGGCTCTACTGAGCTCATGCCTTCCAACCCCCGGGGCCGGAGAGAAAGCAGTCATCCTAGATGCCCGAAGCCAGGCCAGTCCCCAGACGCCACCTGGGAGCAGAGGGGGTCCGTGGGGATGCTCAGGGCCCCTCCCGCATGGAGAAAAGCCAGGAGAGCTGCACCCCGGAGACACACAGAGTGTCAAGCCAAACAGGTCTCGGCAGGGGTGCCTTTGGGAAGTCAGCCCAGGCAGGGGAGAAGGTCAGCTTCTAACCTTTTGGTGGGAGGTTCAAACACGCCGCTGTCGCTGGCCAGCGAGTAATCGGACAGGCAGGCGGACACGCAGCGCGCTCTCCGCTCCAGCCTCTGGGCGCTGTCTTCTCGGGGGGTCGCTGCTGCAGGCGAGAGACACGGCCGGGCTCAGGAGGCGACAGTGCGGGAGCCCAGGGCAGAGCAGAGACAAAGGCACGAAGTGGCAGAGACAGGCCAGCACGTGTGCAGATGTCTGTTTACATGCACTCTGCTCGAGTCTTTTCTTATATTGGAAAATGGAAGAAACAGGCTTCTGGCTACTTCTTTAAAAGCTCTTTAAATGATCATCAATCTCCCTTCACCTCCTTAATGAGCGCACAGGTCAGAAGGTGGCGGGAAGGCCCTTGGCGTGGCCCTTTGAGAGAGTGTCACACGGGAAAGCCTGGAGAGAGATTTCGCCTGCACGTGGACGGCAGCGCGCTCTCCGAGAAGCAGGTGGGGGATGTTTCCTCCTTGACGCTGCTTGGTATTCTCCATACTTTATACAAGGAACACAGGCTACACTGCTTTATAATCAGAAAACAGAGTTTTTAAAAATCATCAAATAACCCCCAACAAAAGGGAGTGACTTTCGAGTCAGAGGACACAGATGCACCCAGACTGGGCCTTTGCCAACGTCCCCGTGACTCCTCTGCCGCTCTAACTGCAGCGTCCTCCTCAGCAGCCCTGGGGCCACACTGGCTTCCAGAACTGTCTCCTGGGATTAGGAAGGACCATGACTGGGCAGCTTATTTTTGTCTCATATCTATTGTAACCAAGAGCCAAAGACAACTACTGACATTTTCCCTTTTATCATTTCATCAACTCTTTCTACTCCTTCCCTCACAGCAACAAGTTTCTTTTAACAAAAGCAACAGAAATAGGCATGCCGTCTCCCGCTGCTAAATGTGACGACGGACACAGGAACCTCAACGCTTCTGAGAGAGGCACACACGGTTAGAACACAGGCTTAAAGCATGAAGCCCCAAACTGAGCCTCACTCTGGCATCACAATGCCTCTTGTTAATAATGCAGGTCCCTCTTGTCTATGTTCTCCGGCCATCTAAGCTCTAGAAATTGAAAATCTAGACACCTGTGCACCCCTGAGTTGAGGGAAATAGCGAGTCCACCAATGACTGTCTCTCTGTTCAACCAATTTATTATTCACAGAACAATTAAACCCAAATATATTCATCGGGGTACAAAACAGACAGGGCTGTGGCCTTTGGTCTCACGATGTTAACTGCAGACAAAAGCCGACCTTTCAAAGGCCTGCAGCGCCCAGCGTGGGGGCCACCGGCCCCGCCTCGGCCAAGGGCAGAAGCTGGCTCCGTCCTCGGATGGCCGGAGACAACAACTCTCACATCGTAGATGACGACTCCCAAGTCCAGCTCTGCTCATCACCCCGGCCCCATGGAAGGACCCAGAGCCTCCAGCTCTAAACTGCAGATAGAACCCCTCAGTTTGCTCCATGGAACCCCAGCAAACACAATGGCTCACTACTTCCATTCCCAGCCCTGACACTCGGCCCTACATGCCTTTAAGGAAGTAACACCACACAATGATCCAGTTAACTTCCAGGCAACCCAATGGTGTGACTGCCAAAATTTCTCTCTCATTGCAATGAAAGTGGATGAAGAGAGAAAGGAAATGGGGGAATCAATCCTCAGTGATCCTGGCTTAGCACATTCAAGGAGCAACTGGATGCAGGAGTTGACAGAAGGAGGTACGGTCAGCACTTGCCCTGGGTGAGAAAGAAAGCACACGGCACACCCCACAGTACACACCGCAACCATCTGCTCTTGGGCTTCAAGGCAACGAGACGGAGAGTGGGGAGCAACGCCAGTGAAGTAAGGAATAAACAAGCTTCCACACGTTCATTTTATAAACCTCAGACCTTTCCATCATTAAACACAGACAAATAGACACTGAGACTTAAGGACAGCAACGCTGCTTGACAAAAGGGAAGAAAGTATAAGGAAAATCACATCGTGGGCAAAGCTGCCAGCTGGCATATTAAAATAATGAAAGTGTTAAAGTCTGGGGAAAAAAACCCAAGAAGGAAAGAATACGTCAAGCTCTTAGAAAAGTTCTTACACAACTTTCATAGCCAGGATGAATACCGTTGTCAAACGACAACAACAATAATAAGAGCAACTGTTGAGCTACATTAAAGCACAGCTATGAGCTATGCCCTTCCTGACCACACCCCAACCATCCTAAATACATTGATTCACTGCACAAAGATGTGGCACAGCCTGACCAGCAAGGCGAAGGAGAAGTCCAAGGTCACTTACAGTGAACGTTTCTGTCGAGCCGCATGAGAAAAGAGATAAAAAAAAAAAAGCACAAAGTGAAAAAACTGTAGAATTTAAGACAACAATTTTAAACAGGGTACGAATGTAATAAAAAACATCAATAAACAAATGAACAAGGTTAAAATATTTACCGACTTATATTAGCAAATACCAGTGGGAAATGAAAATAGGAACGGATTTCAAAATCATGACACATTTGACTTTCAAAATGTGGGGAAGATAAAATTGTAGTAAACATGTAAAAACTGTTAAAGATGACAGTTTATTTCCCCACTCCCCTGCCCCACCTTCTGTCCCCTCAGGTTGATTTAAAACACAATGGGCAATTCTGAATTTTATGTTACTAAAAAATTTTTCTCGTTAAAGCTTCCTTAAGTCAAACTTAGACTGTATTGTTCTTAGTCAGACTGGAGAGTGGAGGGAACTACGTGACCTCGGGCGTCATAAATGAGGGGTGGGGTTAATATAACGAGTATTGAGATCCTCGCCAACTTTATGAAGCTGCGATGACTCTAGGCTTCATAAGCATCACGGGAGGCAAGGAGTCACCCTGTGTCCATGCCTGAAGCTGCTCACCCAACCCAGCCCTGCGAGAGCACCTACCAAGACCCATTCACTAAGTCAAGTACCTCTAGTTTGTATTCTACCCAGAGTGTCGTATATGAACGCACCACGAGATGGAAGTATCTGACCACACCATAAGCAAAGACCTCCCAGCCTAAGCTTGAAGCACTATAACATCCACCACAAAGTAGAAAAGAAAAATAAAGAAATCAGGATCAGAAATTAAGTCAGCTCTTCCCCTTCCCACCCAGTCTTTCCCCTGGACCAAAAGCGGTGCTGGACCTTGTGTGGATTTCCTGCATAAGTAGACAGACACTCTTGTATCTCAGCCTTTAACGAAAAGTTGGTACGGGGGGCTGGACACTGAGAAGAGGAAGCTCAAGCAACAGATGCACGATTCAGTCCTTATTTTGTATTTTCTTTTTTGAATAAACATGGAGCACTGGACCTGTGATTGCAACAAAGAACAAAGCGAATAAAGTTCCCCTGTACATGTGAATTACAGAAATAACGTATCTGGGGATATGAAAGGTGTGTTTGCAAACGCAGAGGGGGAGACACCAAAATAACAGAGATGCCAAAAAGGCTCGGGGCTGCCGCAGAACATAATGGATCTCTGGTTAAACACGTAAAGGCTACAAGAGACTATTATCTTACATATATATAATAACCCGCGTGGGTATACATAAAAAAACCCGACAGGTAACAGAATGGTGGTGAATGGAAGAGCCCATAAAGATCACCTCATTCAAGGGCACAGAAGCCAAGACTCAGCTCCATCTAAGGTTGCGCTCAAGGTCGCACAGCTAGTGAGTCAACAGGGCAGGGAACAGAATCTGGGTATAAGCTGCTAGTTCGAAGCCATTTCTGCTACATCACCCTGGTTTTGTATTCAGGTTTTATTTCCACCTTTTGCTGCTGACTGCTTAACAGTACATGACCAGGGTTTCTCAGCCTCGGCACTCTTGACATCTTGGCTGGATCATTCCAGCCAAGATGGGGACCATGTTGTGCGCTGTAGAATGTTGAGCACTGCCCCTGGTCTCCACCTACCAGATGCCAGTAGCACCTCACCAGCCCCACAGTGTGACAACTGAAAATGTCTGCCAAGTATCTCCAGGGGTCAAAAACACCCCTGGTTGAGATCCACTATGCTATACAAATTATCTAGTGTTCGCCTAAATGGAATGTCTAAAAACAGTTTTGCTGTGCAAATAAAAATTAAGTGGGCTGAACTTCAGGAATGAGAGGCCTGTTCTGATCTTCTCTTAAAATTCAGGAAGTTAAAGTCGCTAGAGGTTGGCTCACAAAAGCACTCGGGGTGAAGATAAGGAGGGTGAAGCCCAGACTCTGCTTTGTGCACCAGCCATCAGCCAGAATACCCCCCACAACAGCAGTCTGGCTTTCCATGTGGGCTACAAGCTGACAGACGCTGGCACCCAGCAGAAGCTGAATTAACACCAACTGGACGGATGAAATTCTCATGGCTACATGTTTCTGGATTTCAAGAGCAGCGGAGAAATCGATTCGGTAGAAAGGACTGATATTTTCACTCCCTCAGTGACAGAATTATGTCCTTGAAAAGTACAAGGACAGGGCTTCCCTGGTGGCACAGTAGTTAAGAATCCGCCTGCCAATGCAGGGGACACGGGTTCGAGCCCTGGTCCCGGAAGATCCCACATGCCGCGGAGCAACTAAGCCCGTGTGCCACAACTACTGAGCCTGCGCTCTAGAGCCCGCGAGCCACAGCTACTGAGCCCGTGTGCTACAACTACTGAAGCCCGCACACCTAGAGCCCGTGCTCTGCAACAAGAGAAGCCACCGCAATGAGAAGCCCGCACGCCGCAATGAAGAGTAGCCCCTGCTCGCCGCAACTAGAGAAAACCCGCGCGCAGCAACGAAGACCCAAGGCAGCCAAAAATAAATTAAAAAAAAAAAAGTACAAGGACAAAGGATGAAGAGATGAAGTCACAGGGCCAACGGAAGTAGAGATTTCTGCCGGGCCACGGCCAGACAGCAGTCCCAAGGCTGGTCTGAGGCGGGCACACACACAACGCTGTATCTGGGCACACGCCCTGGAGAGTTAAGGCCCGCGTACTTCTTTATCAGCCTCCGAATGTGGAGGAACTGTCTCATTTTCGACAATTAAGTATATTCTGAAAACAAGCCAAATGCCTGGGAAAGACTACTTTGCCGGTTTCCATGACATTGCAAGGACCCAGGGCCAAAGCACGCAAAACGAGCGAGCGAGCAAGCGAGCGGGCGCACGGGCCTCCTCTTGCCCTGGAGGGTCCTAAGCTGAGGGCTCACTAGGCCACAGCAGAGCCAGCTGGCTTCTATGCGGATGCACGGCTTCCTCCCTGAACTCGAGACCTTTCCTCCCCCGCCCCGGGGCACCCACCGGACCCATCAGTACGTACTTGCAGCCGTGGGAGCGGCAGCCGCTTGGGGTCCTCGCTCACGAGGTCCTTCCCCGTCCCCGGGACACCCATGCGGCGGCAAGGACGCCGCGCCCGGCGTGTCTTCGTCCCCCACTGCGGAGGCCTGAGCTCGCAGCCTGTCCAGGGCGCCCACGCCCGCCACCTCGAAGGCGTCCCCGAGCTGCGCCAGGGGCGAGTCTCGCGAGGCCGGGAGGAAGGGCGTGTCCAAGGGCGAGCTGGGCGGGGACAGCGAGGACAGCGAGGAGCGCGAGGACAGGGACGCCAGGGACTGCGGCGTGTCCAGGGAGCGCCTCTGTTTGTGGAGGCCCGCGGGGCCCGGGGCGTCCGCCAAGGGGGCGTCCCGGCCCAGGGAGTCGAAGGGGACAAGGTCGAAGCGCAGGAGCGGGCCGCCCTCGGCGTCGGGCTTCTCGTACTGCGGGAGGCCGTAGATGTCGGTGAAGCTGACGGAGCTCAGGGAGCCCCGGCTGGAGGCCAGCGAGCCCCGGCTGGAGGCCAGGGAGCCGCGGCTGCTCCCCGAGGAGATGGTCAGGGTGCTGGCGGACAGGCTGAAACGAGAAGAGCAGCCTGGAGCCCGCGGCTGGAGCCTGCCCGTCCCCACCGGGAGCCGCGCCTCCGGTCTGCTCCAGAGGAGCAAAACTCTGCCTCGGGCCCGTTCACCCCGGCGCCTCTTCAACACCTCTGAGCACCTGTGAGCGTTTTAAGACACCCCCCCCCTACACACCCCGCCCCTTCGTAAATATTTCCTTTGTTTCTTTGAATGTCGGTCGAGAGCAGTAGTTAACGTCAAGGGCTCTTGCTCGAGTTCAAGTTCCAGCTCACACTCAAGACTAACTGAATGCATTTGATTTGGTCAAGGGCTTTGCCCTTTCCCAGCCTCCCACCTTCTCACCCTGCGCTGGGATGATAGCGGTTCCTGCCTCAAGGCGCTGTGAGAGGGAGAACTGAGAAAGTAATACACAGAAAGCCCTTAACACTACACTTCACGATACGGTAAGTGCTTGAAAACTGGAGCTCTTACTGAGCATCCAAATCGGATTTTAAAGATATTCATGCCTAATTAAAATGAATATCTTGAAATAATTAAACGCGTATGTGTGCATCTATGTAGATGGACATATACAGTCCTGATGCTGTGAGTGACAAAATCCTTCGATAAATGATTCATTATTCTCAAGTCACTCTTGGTTCTCCTCGTATTCCTTGGATCATATATGAGTAGCTCCTCTTAAAAATATCGTGTATCCACTTTCCTGTCCAGTGTTTACAACCACTGCAGGTTCCAAGTTCTAGGAGAGAAAACCAAGCCAAAGGGAACTGTGAAGTTCACGGCCACGTCGTTATAAGATGATAACAAGTTACCCACCTTTGTAACTGGGACTGGAGATAGGACGTTAGACGGGTAGCTTCTTCCAGCTGCATCAGGAGACAGTTTCTTTTTTCCTGAAGTAGAATCCTGTAGGTACGAAAAGAGTCCACTGGTGAATTTCAAAGACGCCAAGTATATTTTCCTAACAAGAAATTCAACTGTAAATTCCCCCAAACTGATTGAGGTGTCAATGACTAAATTCTAAAAAAGCACATCCAAGATCATAAACATCAAGATAACAGACTGTTTTTGTCTTGCTTAAAAATGTCCCACTGGCCGCCTGAACAGTGCCTGATACACTGTAGAAGTTCAGCACATGGGTGGATAGGCGGATGAATGCATGGGTGGGTGGATGGATGGATGCATGCATGCGTGGATGGATGGGTGGAAAGACGGATGGATAAATCAATGGGTGGGTGGCTGGATGGACTGACGGATGCAGGGGTGGGAGGAGGGACGGGCAGACGGATAGGTGAACAGGTGGACTGGATGGACAGATAGCAGACAGGCAGATGGGCATACGGATGGGTGGCTGAGGTGTGTGGGAGGATGGGTGTGGGTGGATGAACAGATGGATGGGAGACTAGACTAGAATATGGATACAAATGTACAGCATGCAGTAATCTACTGGAATTCCTTGGAACAAATCAGGTTCCCTCATGCTAAGCCCCCTTCCAGGCAAAACTACGTGCAGTTCTAAAATCTACAGAATTAAAAGATTAAACACAAATAAAATAAAAAAACAACTGCCACAGTGTTGGAGGTAGTTTTCTACCTACTTTTTTCAACTTTATTATTTTCTAAAATGAAATTTTTTCCCACAGCGCTACGCCCACTGCCTAGAATAGAGCCCAACATGGATAGGCACTCGACAAATAGTTATTAAGTGAATGTACAAATGAATATGTTCACTCCTAGAACAAAACAGTTCTCGCTTACAATTCAAAATGATGGCAGTTCACCATATGGCCAAGTAGGCGCCCTACAAAACAACTGCTCTTTCCTTTGAAAGAGGAAAAAACTTACATCCCCCCAATCCCCAGCAATACTCACTAACCTGGCTCAAACTTTCCATCTGACAATGATGCCACTGAAACCAAGACGGGCAAAGACTGGGCCTGGCCAAACAGCTGGCACACGTCAGCCCTGAGACGCGTACCTCCATACCTTTCTGCCTGGCTCCCTCCTCCCAGACCGGGTCTCTTCTAACGCCCTCAGCCTGATCCCAGGGAAAGCCCCCTGCCTCTGGGCCCCAGGCGGCAGGGAGAAACGGGCCCGCATCCGCTAGGCCCAGAACGTCACCGCCAAGGGAACACTCACGGGGCACTTGGCCCCATCACCTGGCCGGAAAGGTGCTTATTAGCACCTGTGCACGGCCCTCCTTGCCCAAGGCTGTGTAGTGCCAGATTCAGGAGACACCTGGGGCCAATTCAGTCCCAGCTGAGGGCCCTGCGCCCCAGGATGCAGCTCCCAGGCTGGTTCCACAAGAGACCCCGTCAGGTGAACGAGCTTGGGTGACCCAGGCCCTGAACCCAGGCATCAGGGTAAAACCAGCTCTGTGGGGTTCCATGGATTTGTGCCCTGGGACCACAGCACTCCTGCGCTCTGGATTTCCACATGGTGAGGGCAGAAACACTCAAGGGTACATGGGTGTGGGGTCCTGGTACATGTGGTGGACATGTGGTGTTCGTGGGACTGAATCCTCGCCCCTTAAGAGAAAACCAACCAGAACTCCCAGGCCCTCTGACCTGAAACATACACAAGAGAACAGCATGGGGAGAACGGAAGGTGATGTTAAGCTGAAACGATACAAAAGCACAAGAGCACAGATGAAACTTCCATTTCATAGTCCCGTTGCTCTGGGTTTATTTTGAGCGAGGTGACAAGGGCACGCCACCACGTCAGGCAAACTAACATGCTCTCTGCCCATTCCTATGCACTGGACTCCCCAATCACCATTGCTTCCCTCCAGCGCTGACAGTAGCCCCTCAGGACACAACGCAGACCTGTCTATCAATTAACAACGAATATCCAAGCAGAGACAACCCCCAGCAAAAACAGAGGACAGTCCTAACATTCGATGAAATAATCGTTATAAGGGCATCTGTACTGACCAAATAATTCAGGTGACTATTAAACTCTACCTAAAGAATGCTCACAGAGATACAGCTTATGATCCTGGTAATACAGTGAATTTTAAGGAGCCAGTATGTTATCAAATGGGCGGTGGGCTCTCCAAAGCTCAGCAAATATCCCCAAACTTCTGACAGCTGTGCAACGTGGAAAGCAGACCCAGCCTTCCACGCAATCCGTGATCACACACAGCAAACGCAAACCAGGAGACAGGGCACACAATGAAAGGGCGAGCAACAGAGGACAAAGGACTCTGTGCTGGCTTCACGTGTCCCACTCTGGGAAAGAGCCCCAAGACCAACTGAAGAGATGCACGTTCAGAAAGACACGCGAGAGAGCGGAGACTTCCTGCTGCCAAAAGGGCAGGCTTTGCTGGCGAGAAATCAAAGTGGGAGATAAAAGTAAGAGGTAGACTGCGGAAACGGAGATGCTGCTGATGTCAGGAACGAGGTTCCTCCGTGGTCACGGAGCCGACCACCACCTGCCTCCGGCCCCCTGTTGGCTGGAGACCCGACACCTGTCCTGGGCGCTGTCCTGGAAACACAGGGGCCGGGTGCACCCGGTACCTGCAGCGGGAGTGGGCGGGGTCTAAGTGGTGGGTTCCCTGGTCTTCCTTACTCCATCTGGTTCTCGACCACCTCCCACTTGTAATAGGGACCGGGAGCCTCCGAGCCCTGGGCACCCCCTGAGGACGGCAGGCACCGGCTCCCTCCACCTTCCGCCAGGCCGTAGCTGCCTGAGTAACAAGGCTTCGACTTTGCCAGCTGCTCCTCCGCCGGAAGCCGGCCCCGCCCGCCCAGCCAGCCCACCTTTCCGTGGCACCCTGCACGGATGTGGCCCGGGAGCACTGGATCTCCTCCTCCAGGCGCCGCCGCTCCTCCTCCAGCCGGGCCACGTCCTCCGCCGGCCTCCTCTGCTGGATGATGAGCTGCAGCTCCTGAAGCAGGGCCTCCTTCTCCTTGATGAGCTGAAGCCGGTCCCTGTCGGCCTCGGCCATGCCCGGCCAGGACTCGCTCTCAAACTGGGCCAGCTGCCTCTGGATACTTGAGACTCTGCGAGACAGGGACACAGAAAAATCCATGAGCTTCATGAAAAAACATCGTCTTCACACATCCTCAGCACCATCACACGGATTCTAGAAACTCAGTCCGATAAATATGGGAATGATTGCACTGAGTAAAACCTCACACGACAAAAATAAAGGATCTGGAAATGAGGTGTAACAAAAATGATGTGTAAGTCCTTTGCGACATATGCCCCAGCCTATGAGATTCAGGATGACAGTAACCATATCATGTTTGTTTCAAAGAACTGACCAAAAGGCTGGCAGACCCCAACTCGCCCACGTGCACGGTGCTGTTTCCTCTGTGTACTGTTCTGGAGCGGGATGGAGCCGGATCATTTCTCTCTGTGCCCCTCCCTCTGCAGTAGCTAAACACCGTGCTGCACACATGAGAGATGCTTCTGGCCTCCTGCCTTCTCTGCCATGCCTAACTGCTGAGCCCGCCTTAAGAAAATCCCAGGAAAGAAATGCGCCCATCACAGGATTCTGTATCGTGCCAGAGGCCTTGACCACGCATGAAATTCAAAACGCCTGGCAGAGGGCAGATACTCAACAAAAGCTACATGCATGAAACGGAGAATAAACACGCCAGCAAGGATATGAAAGAATGGACTCAGCCCTGGTGAGAGTGGATGTGGTGTGGGGTAATCTGGGTGGATACAAACCGGTCAGCTGCACTGTGTCAGCACGACCATCCTCAAGGTGTAAAACTATGGCTCTCGTCACTCCCCGTGTGCCTAAATGTCCGTGTGCCCGCTTGGCAGACAGACTGGTGTCCTGAGGTGGTGCTGAATGCAGAGTAAGTGAAAGAGATGTGACTTGTGTTTTCAGAGCATCCTTTCATACCAGGAGTAGAATGTTTTAAGCCCTTTAAGTTTACATATGGCTAAGGATGAGGGCTATTTCCGGGCAGAAACAAGGAACTCCAGACCTGACCAGAACCCAGCGCTGTGGAGGACAGAGATTGGCACACGGGCCCAAAACCAAAATCCAAAGACTTCTCTGAGGTGACAGAGAGCTGTGAGGACAGCTAAGTGGCAGGTGCACATAGCCCTCTAGCCTCTAAGGCAGCGGTTCTCAAAGTGGGGTCCCTGACTGGCAGCCTCAGCATCACCTAGGAGCTTGTTACAAATGCAAACCTCAGGCCCCACCCCAGACCTGCTGAATGCCACATTCTGTGGATTGGGGTTGGGCAACCTGGGTTTTGACAAGCCCTCCAGGGGTTTTTGATGCTTGTTTGACACCCTCTGCTTTCAGGCAGCCCAGCCTGGTCTGGAGGATGCTAATTGGCCTTGGAGCTCTTAGAGGCTTGCATTAGGCGCGGATGGGATTAGCCTCACTAAAACAGGAATGGCAAGAGTGCTTCTGAGACTGCACTGTCCCGTGCCCAGGGCACATGTCACTGATCAAAGCTGGCATCCTTCCTGCTGGGTCCAGACTTCAGAATCCTCCTCAACACTGTGCTTCCTGCAGATAATGCCAGTCAGCTGGCATTGGTCCACGTGTTAAGGGCTGTCGGCCATCCCTGCACCAATCCACGCTCTTCCTGAACTAGACATAAGCACGGGACTAGTCAGCCTGGCTGCAGGACTGGGCAAGACTCCTTCTTCAAGTACCAAACCAATCGGATAACCCACAGGCATGAAGAGGAAAGAATATACAAGTTATAGTTTAAATGCACACATTTTACTCAAGCCCAGTTCCCCAAGAAGGTAAAGAAAATAGCTGAATGTCAGTAGCTTTATTAGGCAAGTTCTTTTCTAACGTAAAACTAATTTTCTGAAAATGTGTTGGAAAATGGTGCCAAATCATGTCACTGAAAAAACTAATGACAGATGCAGCTGAACAGGGTTAGGAATCCAACTGGGCTTAGGCATCCACCTCTGTCTAATTAGCGTAATTAAAATTTATGGCAGGCATATAACTGAAGCCCAAGGAAACACTCCAAGCAGACTCATAAATTAGCGCCAAATCAGACATCAGACCCAATGAAATTTCTGGAACATTCTACGGTAGATCAAGCCAAGTCAAAGGTAAGGAATAAATATAAAAGAGATGTACAGTGAGCAAATGCACTGGGTCCTCATAATTTTTCATTTCAATGTATCTGATCCGCAGGAAAGCCTATCTGAGCACAAGTAAAGTTAGCAGCATTACCTGGTAATATATACTAATAATTCTCGTACTACAGGCAGACATATTTTTCAAAGCACTCCTTTTGAGTTTTCTGAAGTTTACATGTAAGGAGATCAAGATTCCATTTGAGTTGGCCAGCTCCAGGTTAGCTGCCATTTCACAGGGATTCAAGTTGCTGAGGGTGGCTGGAGATCCAGTCCTAGATAATCCTATTCTTTCCAGTAATCTCAAGTAATATCAGAAAAAAGAATAAGGAAAAAACTGAATTATGAGAGGGAGGAGAAGCAAAGGGCAAATTTCAAAAGGTCTGCCCACCGTGCGCATAAAAGAAATAGTACAGTGGCCAGAATTAAACAGTGTACTGTAACTTTCCAGAGCTCACAAGAAAAGTATGTAAGGACACATGGTGAGGGATGACTTCTATAGCAGAGACAACCTGGATGAAGCGGACTTCATGTAACCCATCTGGAAAAGTTGTTTGGGCTGTACTGAGTACTAGGCAAGCACACTGTGCTTAAGAACAGTGCTCTTTTAATAATTAAATTTTACAACAACGTGAATGACTGCATACTCATCTCAGAGGTACCTAAGAATCTAGAAGGATACTGGCATATATTGGAAAGTGCAGTTTCTTTCTCTAGATCCACACTCCGGAGGCAGACATTTGGGTCATGCTCTCAGCCAGGTTGAGAGAAGCACGTGTCTGTCTGTCTGTCTATCTGTACTGGGAGCCAAAAGCTCTAAAAGGATTCCTTCAGCGGTTCCTAGTACAGTTGCCAAGGAACAGATGGGATGGCTTTACCTTTGAAACAATAAGCCCTGTCTACCGTGCTGCTGGCTGGGAAACGAGCCACCTGCAAGGCGGACCCTTCGTGTGTTAGGGTTACTGGAGGGAACAGACCTTCCGTCTCAGACCACATACAGATGTACAGTTACGATGTCCCTTCCTTCTACACCCACGCCCAACAGCTGATGCATAGTACAAGTTGGAACCCCACTCCTGCAAGCGCCATCAGTCCAATTCTGGGTAATACAGGAAAAACCATTTCCAGAAAGGCTGTCTTCTGAAATACCTTTTCAGGAAAATTAAATACATGGAAACAAAGCAAGGTCACGATTACAGTTTGTAAAAATAAAATAATCTTTTCCGAGTTCTTTTTTTTTTTGGCCATGCTGCACGGCTTGCAGGATCTTAGTTCCCTGACCACGGGCCGAACCCAGGGCCACGGCAGTGAGAGCGGCAAGTCCTAACCACTGGATGCTTAAGAGATGGACCGCCAGGGAACTCCCCAAGTTCATGTATAAAGAGAACCGAGATCAATTACTCAGCCATTAAAAGGAATGAAATTGGGTCATTTGTAGAGATGTGGATGGATCTAGAGTCTGTCATACAGAGTGAAGTAAGCCAAAAAGAGAAAAAGAAATATTGTATATTAACACATATATGTGGAATCTAGAAAAATGGTACAGATGAAACTATCTGTAGGGCAGAAATAGAGACGTAGACGTAGAGAACAGACATGTGCACACAGTGGGAGAAGGGGAGGGTGGCACAAATTGGGAGATTAGGTTTGGCATAAATACACTACCATGTGTAAAATATAGCTAGTGGGAACCTGCTGTATAGCGCAGGGAGCTCAGCGCGGTGCTCTGTGACGACCTAGATGGGTGGGATTGGTGGGAGTGGGAGGGAGGTCCAAGAGGGAGGGGATATAGGTATCCATATAGCTGATTCACTTCACTGTACAGCAGAAACTAACACAACATTGTAAAGCAATTTTACTCCAATTAAAAGAAAAAAAAAGTAAATAAATTTTAAAAAATAATAAAGAGAACCGAGATCAATTTAAAACTGGCAAGGGTTTTTTTTTTTCCCTGCGAGTCAGCTGTATTCTTTACTGATTCTTATTTTTGATAGGTAATCCCTTTTATGGCCTACATATATATGTATATATCCTCTCACAAATGTCTTTAAAGGCTTTAAAACACATGTCCCTGTGCTCAGGATAGTGAAGAAATGAAAGCAAGTCCTCAATCAAGCATTTTGGTCTCATATTTATTGTGTGATTTCTAAATTCCATCCCCCTGAACAGGCCTAATGTAGACAGAAGCCAAATATGAGTCATTTTTCCCTTACTATTTTTGCCCAAACACCTTTTCTGTTACAACCCAGGCACCATTAAACCACGAATGGAAACCTGCATTTATGCCGCAGAAACTGCTTGGACCCTTACAGTTCACATGGAAATCTTAGATATGACTTCTTTTTCGAAGAAGAAAATGCACTTTTAATATTACACAGTTTTGAGGCATATTTTACATATCCAGAGTAACCCCCAGGTATCTGAATTTATACCTAAATTCTGTGACCTACAATATAAATTCCCATGTTCCTAAAATACTGCTGCTTTCTGGAATAGAAATGGAACTCCAGGCAAGCCATGGCCCTGACTGGTCGTGATGGGACGTGGTGGATCCCAATGCCATGTTCCAGGACATGGTCCCAGCTTGGAACCTCGTGCCTTCAGATGTCAATTACAGCTACAGATTTGATACCTTTATGTTTCCTCTCCTTAGTTTTCTTTTTTGCAAATATCCATTCAAATGAAAAGCAAAAGTTCAACAAAGTCTCAGCTGAGATCTGAGTCAGATGGATGGTGAAATCACTTCAGCTCACCGAACTAAATATCGATAAACCAGTGTCCATTCGGCTCAACTCTTTATCCTACACTGGAGATTCACAGAGTCTGAATCTAGAAGTGTGGCATAAGAAGGGCCTACGAATACCCCAACATCCCTCCCTGCCCTCACATCTTGTCCCCTCTGAACGAACAGATCTTCAGAGAGTGAGTT